ACAAGAACAAGACTTACAAGTTTTTCATCTGTAATTCTTGAACCTACTGTACAGTACGCTTAACCAATCCTTGAAAGGCTGAGCTTCGCAAAAACATTCAGAGATACTGAGTTTGCCAAGTTACATTCCACGGGTTCGAGTGAATAAGAAACTTTGAAACGGGGGTTTAGATAAATTTAAAAATACAATCCATTGACTGCATGACCTACCTTTGGAGATAGACATCTGTTGTGTACTGTAAAGAATAATGTTATCATTAAGTTAAATATCAGCCTTATTACGTCACTTCACAAGAAATGATCACCGGTGAATCACCAAAAGTGATGTACCTGTACAGTACAAGTGAAGGAAGGCGTGGGGCGGTAAAAGTGGCTTCATGGTGATGGTGACGCAAACAGACTGTCTGACTGGCTACTAGCCGCTGGACGAGTGACAGGAAGAAGGGTTATAATATTTTTTTGAAGATTAAGCTACGCAACAAAAAAATGCTACTATATAGTTATAGTGTTCACATATATAGCCACACACATTGTTTCCTTTCACAACAATCCACTCATATTGTAGCAGTGCATTTACGTCATGATAACGTAATTTGTGTTAAGGCTACACACGTTTTCAGCATCTCTAACTACGTGGGACTTTGGGGGGGGGGGGGCGGTGGGACTAATGTGCTTCGTTAGGTGGGGGAGGGGTCAACAGGTGTTCTGTTGGGTTAGGGGGGACAGGTGTGTCCTACCGGTGTGTGTGTGTGTGAGATTTTATCATACATTTGATAGCGTTGAATTTCAAATAAACGATTCACTGTCCAACAAATTTTAGGGAAAGTTGTGTTTATCTGAATTTTTAACTGTTTATATATGTTTTCGAGTACGCTGATTCAAAAAATGACTATTTTTTGCAGCATCAATAGTTTTATCAGAAATTAGCAATTAATTTTTTATCATCTCTGAAATTTAACCAGAAATCAGAAGGTGAAATGTTGATATACATCACATTTGCTAATGAAATAAATGAAACAAGAACACAATTTTATGTTATATTGAAAGCATAAAACATGACCAAACAACACATTCCTTTTTTATACTTGTTACTAATGAAATTAAACAATAAACTATGCTAAAAATGAACACTTGAACGGCATTTTCTTTTGTGTTCCTAAGGGTCATCTCGAATCAAGCTCCACACATAGTCACCCATTATAGCTTCATCCCATCTCCCCTGATATCTCTTCTCCGTAGTTTGTATGTCCTGATAAAACCGTTCACCATGCTCTTCACTCACGTGTCCCAAGTTTGGTCTGAAGAAGTCCAAGTAGTGTAACTTCAGTGACATTCTGCAGCCAAGTTCTCTATAACATAAAATTAAATTTTCCACCAGTTCTTTGTAGTCCTCAGACTTCTGGTTGCCCAGAAACCCATGTACTATAAGCCGAAATGCTTGCCAGGGATTTTTTTCAGCAGTTGACATTTTGTCTTCCAAATCTTTAGATGCCAACATCTGCCTAATATGTGGTCCAATGATGATGCCGCCTTTGACTTTGGCCTCAGACAATTTTGGGAACATTCAGCGGACATGTTTAAAGGCGCTACTTTCTGGGCTTAATGCTTTGATAAACTGCTTCACAAGCCCTAGCTTTATGTGAAGTGATGGCAGCAATATCTTCTCTCTTTGAATAAGAGCATTGTTACATACATTGTGTGCACCAGAAGTTATTTCGCTTCAGACATGCCTATCTCTTCTGTCATAGTGTTTGTCATCTGCCCTACTATCCCATAGACAGAGAAAACAAGAATACTTGGTATAGCCACCTTGTAGTCCAAGCAGGAAACCTATCATCTTGAAGTCTCCACATACATCCCAATTGTTTCTTGTATAGTTGAGCATGTCCAACAAAACCTTTACAGTTGAAGCAGCACTGATCTTGTGCCCTTCCACCGACCTTATTCTCCAGGCAGTTGCCAGACAGCTTTTAGTCAAGCCCTCAATTTGAAATATCGTATTTTTCCCTTTTTTTTTTTTGCTATTTTTATTGATTGGTGTTTGTTTTAATAAACCTTTATATGTATTAAATATGCACAGTTATATTGTTAATTTTTCAAAAAAAAAATATTGACAGCATGGCAAAACCAATGGCAGATTCGTAATCAGCATGTCTAAATTAGTAAAGAAACATCAAAATCAACATAAACAAAAAATTGTTGCACAGTGATTACACACTGCCATGTAACTTTAATATACTGTCCATGCTTCATAGTACGGTCATTTACCTTATTTCTTAACTGGCCACCCACTAGAGATGACCATGCCAAGGGAAGGCCAGTGGCCTGTGTATAGGGTCCCTCCATTATTCGTGATAATTTTTGAAGCCCAACAATGTTTGTTTTTTTTAATCTTGAGGTGGTAGACCATTCCATAGGTCTACCACCACCATCTATGCAAAGAAGTATTCTTATATTCGTTCTCCATGTTAGCCTGGCGAGTTGGCAACTATTGCATTAGCACCACTCCACAATGTTTAATAAAAAAGTAAATGCAGTACACTACACATACTCGAGACGGAGAGCTATGTGATATTTAACAAGTGTACAACACGCATACCCTCACCCAGATTCTGTGAAGTGTAACTTTAATAAGGGCACCCTGGCGAGGTATTGTGATCGAAGGGGTGATAAATAGGAAACATTAGTGTCTCTTTTTCCCTTAAAGGGAGAAAAGTTGAGTTTTAAGTTCAGTGTGCATGCTGACTTTCCAAGTAGAGATATAAAAGTCCAGGTTAATTTCGTATTTGTTTTGGAACTAATATTGATTTCCTGGCCGTCTACTGCTGGTGTCACTTCTCAAGGGGTCCAGGTATTTCTGTGAGAAGAAACTGTACACACAGACACATGGCAGAGGAAAGGTAGTAGACAACATATCTAAAGAAAATTACATAAACGTGACTTACCGCCCAAGCGGCTAACAGATCGATCAGTGACGAAGGTAAAGTAAAATAAGTAATGTCGATGAGCCACATAAGAGGTTAAGCACTGTTGCAGTCGACCTAGGAAGTCACGAACAATAAGGTGAACACGTGGTGTGGTCGTGCTTAAGTAATCCAGACTGCACGGACGGGTACATAACTGGTTACACACACACACACACACACACACACACACATATATATATATATATATATATATATATATATATATATATATATATATATATATATATATATTTTTTTTTTTTTTTTTTACTGGGATTAGCCCACCTGGCACAGGTCACTGACCCACATCGGGGCCTGGGGGGGAAATGTAATAATAATAATCATAAAGAAATACAAAAATGAAAAAATAAACAAAGGTGAGAAACAATATATGTATGTTGTGTTGTCAAAGTAAGAGAAACAATTGAGACCCTGCAATTGTGCGTAAATGGGGCAAAAAGTCAGATGAGCAACCTGGGATTTGGTCACAATTTTTGTGATGCCATATGGCAGCAGGGTCTACCATTAGACAACACATTATGCTTCCAATATCTTCCCAGGCGGTAGTACCTCCCTGTTTGATAGCTACCTACTACCTACGATATACCGGTGCATGCCTAGTACTTGCCATCAGTGCGTAACAGAGCCGATATCATTTGGTGAAGAGGAAAAAAAAAAAAAAAAAAAAAAAATATATATATATATATATATATATATATATATATATATATATATATATATATATATATATATATATATATATATATATATATATATATATATATATATATATATATATATAAAATCAACGACCTCACCACCCAGTGATGTACTGGGTTTATCAATAAACTTCTAAATGAATATGTGGAAGTGAGGTGCTAAAATTAACACTAGTCAATATACTCGTAGCTTCCAAACGAGAAATTAAGCTACGAGTATAATGACTAGTGTTACTTTTAGCACCTCACTTCCTCTTATTCATTTATGAGTTTATTAATAAACCCAATACATGTGACAAAAACATCACTTGCTCATAATCTGTACTGGCTTCCTCATGTGGGAGCGGACTTGTAATATTCGGAAACAGGATGTGCCGTTAAATGACCCTTGAGCTATTTTAAACTACAATTTATTCATTCCAAGCGCTCGTGAATTCTGTTTACAGTTATGTTACCTCATTGATTAGCAAGTTGGACGAGATTATTTGTTTTATTTTTTATTGAAAGATTGTAATTAACATCAGACAATACAAAGAAATTAAATTAGGTTTGGTCTAGGCTTCATTTAGGGCATTTGTTGAGGGGGGGGGGCATATTGTACAAGTCAGTACAGTATTTGGTTTGTTCAGCGCATGTGGATTTGTGATAGTTTGTGGAACGCTTGTGTGTGTCACCCTCATCAAATGTTAGTTCACGTAGTCTATAATTGGGTGGGGTACACTGAACAAGGGAGGAAATGCTTGGTGTATGTTACCTATGTATACAGCTCGTGTAGACCCCAACCACACAAACTAGGGCCCATGTACACACATACACACACATGCTCTGTTTACTGGTTTTAGTTAATAAATCTAAATTTCGTTCAACATTGAGCCTATATAGCTTATGTGGAACGATTACATATCTAGGTTTTTAGTAATATTTCGTGGACTATATTTAAAAAAATATATATTTTGACGATATTTGAATCCATTCGATTCGTCACTTATCAGGTTATTGGTTGATCGTTTTTACAGCGCCCATCAGAGAATACTGTACCTGCAGTGTTTGGGAGGGTCACTGGATGACACCCTTCTTACACCCGACTCAGGCGAGATTCGAACCCGGATCAAGAGTTGTGAGGCAAGGCTACAGTCGCGGGACTTTGGAATTATTTTTTTCTGTAGACCTTGCCATAGTTGTTTATAGATTAATGTTGATCCAATAAGTAAATTTAAAATTAAATGGGATGAATGGAAATATAGTTTACAGTGGCGAAATTTTCACGCCATTCTGGCGACATTTGAATTAAAGGTTGGCGAGAAGGGATCGGGAGCGGAGGGAGAGGAAGGTAGTGGAAGTTGTGAAAGGAGTGAGAGAGGTAGTGTGGGTGTCGCCTCTCGCAGTCTGTGTCACGGGGTAACTGGTCACAGTGTTCAGTGAACTTGGTCCACAATTTACAGGACACACAGAGTGTTCTGGGAAGGAATATCGCACATTGGGTGATAAACGACGCCTGGTAGCAGCACGTGAATGTGAGGTGAGGGGTGGGACGGAGGGAGGGAGTGTATAATACACCTGGCCCACCTGTGTTACACCTGCTTGGGGGCGGCAGGACATCACCTACACCCACGCCCTGGCTTACTCTCTTCCCTGAGCACATAACCCAATAACAATGTAAGTCTAGACTGTTTTCCTCAGTGTAGTTGGTCTGACAGACAGAATTGCATGCTGTTGTTTTTGTTTTATTATGTAGTGTTAGGGTTAGTTGTTTTAGTGATACAAAAATATTTTCTGTATAGGCCTCGGCCCAGCCAAACTGAGGCAGTCTTTGTTAGGACAGGCAGGCTCATTTTATGTTGTGTAACTTAAACTTTCTGTATGTAGCACAACCCAAACATCCTAACTATTCTTTAACTTAATTTAGCTACACATAATGTAACTGAAGCTAACTTAGTCAAACTAAATCCTACCAAACCTCACCTCTATAGGTTAATATTGACGACTGACCCGCGGAAGAGTTATTTGTTTTGCTGTTTATTTTCTTACTCTTTTCTTCAGTGAGTTCTGATAAGATCAGCATTTCTTGTGGAAATGCTTTGTTTGGTGGATAATTAGGTGCCTAGGCACGCACTACTTCTTCTCAGCGGTAATGTGGCGTTGACGTCTCATCCCAGGATGTAAGCCCCCAATCATATTGACGTATTTCAAAACCCTCCGCTGTCAGGGCCGGATCCGAATCAACGCCGAAGCTCAGTGTATGCTTGTGAGTGTTTGGTACGGGCGGCTGCTCTCACTTACACAAAAAACATAAATTTACACGGTATCACAGTAAGTTCTTTTGGTTTAATAACGGGGGTCCGGAAGTTAGGTAGGTTTGTAAGGTTAGGTAGATTTGTTTGGTTAGGTTGGTGAGGTCTTCTAACAATGCTTCTGCTGCTTTTTTCTCATATCAACTAAGGATAGGTTAGGTTTAATATTTAAATAACCACTTTTTAACACATTTGCACAAAATACAAGTGTCCACTATAAAACAGTGAAATTGCAGTGTTTTTATAATCGTTTTCTATGGAAAATCGGCTGCGGGTTCATTCGTCAATAATTACTGCTCTATATTATAGTAGATGACGATTAACAGTGATATTCGCTTGATTAAATAACAACAATGAAGATTATCCAGAAATACTCTTCTCAGTTAAAGGTATAAATTTGGGTAAAATTATCTTTTCGTTCATGCACCTATTTTCTGAAGGACACCAAAAACCATCAGAAAAACATTTCAACCCAACCTAAACCTGAATTCGCTGCATTACTGAAATGATGATACCTAAAATTCAATTGTACCTTATATTCTTTGCCACTTTTTAGCTCACTAGCCAGTCGAGCAGTTGGTCTATCTCATGTACTGTACTGATCATTCTATGGGTTCTTAAGAGTACAGTGAAACCTCCATGTAATGGACTTCTCTCTCCTTGTAATCCGTTAGATGGAGGGTTTTGCATCCAACAGACCCTCGATAAAATAGACTTTAATCTCCATATAGCTCTTTAGATGAAGGTTTCATATCATATGGACCCTTGATATAAACGACTTTTCTCTATACAGCTCCTCCTCGACTTACGACCACCCACACTTACAACCTGCCTCATTCGTGCTAAAATTTTGTCAAATTACATATTTTCGAGTCCCAATGTCAGTACACAGAGAATTTTCCTTTGTAATTCACTTTAAAATGGCTGGCAAGCTTAAAAGTTAGAGTTTTGTGGTGTTGAGAAGAAAAAGAGACACCCATTTTAGATTTTCTATGTATTATTTAAGCATTTTTGACTTGTGACCATTTCGACTTCCGACCTGGATTTGGGTCCCTAACCCCGTCGTAAGTCGGGGAGGAGCTGTATATTGTCTGTCGAATAGAGGTTTGACTGTACAGTACTGTAACGTGTTTAAGGTTGATCATAAATTGGTATTATTTTATTTATGTACAACCATCTTGTTCGGGGATTTTGGCATTTGCAATCTATAGATCTAATAATTCCGGTGCTGGACAACTCATACTCAAGCAAATCATACCAATCAGAACATGTCAAGTCATACCCATTTACAAGATAACTTGAACCCAATTTATGAGACATATGCAGGAAGGAAATGAATTAAATAAGATCAAAATTAGAATGCTCGTACAGCCACTCCTCGACTTTCGACGGGGTTAGGGACCCAAATCCAGGTCGTAAGTCGAAAATGCGAAAATAATACAGTACATAGAAAATCTAAAATGGGTGTCTTTTTCTTCTCAGCACTACGAGAACTCTCACATTTAAGTTTGCTAGCCATTTTAAAGGGAATTACAAGCGAAAATTTTGTCAGTACACAGCGCAATCACTAACGTCGGGACACGAAAATACGTAATTTGAAAAAAATTTAGTACGACTGGGACGGTCGTATGTCCGGGTGGTTGTAAGTCGAGGAGTGGCTTTATTTATTTTTTTATTTTTTTACGGGAATTAGCCCACCCAATGCACAGGTCACTGACCCACATCGGGGCCTGGGGGGCGAAATAATAATAATAATAATAATAATAATAATAATAATAATAATAATAATAATAATAATAATAATAATAATAAAGAACCACAAAGAAATACAAAATGAAAAACAAAATCAAAAGTGAGGAACAATATATATATGTTGTGTTGTCAATAGTAAGAGAAACAATTGAGACCCTGCAATTGTGTGTAAATGAGGCAGAAAGTCAGATCAGCAACCTGGGACTTGGTCACAATTTTCGTGATGCCATGGATAAGACCAAGACAATGATCATGGAAAGAAACCCAAGGCAAAACCCACAACTTATTAGTATTAGTTGAATGAATATTTAAAAAATCGAGTCCTTTAAATACCTTTGATTACTTATGACATAAGAATACAAGATTGAAGAAGAAATAATTATGTAAATACCAATGTAAATTATAGCCAGGATTGGAGCCGGTAATAGATACTACTACAGTCTTCTGGGCATACTGAACGAAGATCCGTATGTTAATCAAGGGATACTTTTCTGCAAATTTGTGAGCCTCATTTCTGATGTCATCATTATCCTTTTGGCAGCATTCTATCACTATTCTGAACCGATTGTACAGTATATATTTTTATTTGCAACCATTCTAGCCTGCCTCTGGAGAAGTGTTGTCATCAACATGCCTCTTTCGTTGTTTAATTGTGGTTACTTTATATTCTGAAGTACTACACAAAGCCTATGCTTCCATCTAAGAAAAGTCAAAGTGAGCTGATATAGTAAATGCCAGTACCTATAGGTGTTGTACATTATAACCCTGTATCATGTGCAGTATGGCATGGTAACCTGCCATAATTATGATATATAACGTGCAATGTTGTTCGAACCAGTCACGAACATCATACCTGTATGATTTTGTTTGCTTTTACTTCTAGGATGCCTTTGCATCTACTGTAACCAGTCAGACATATTAGTTACTGGACAGTACAGTATTTAACACTATTATGTTTTGTACATACACCTACATTTATCACTGTAGCAATATCTAAAACTAACCAAATCAGCTGTACCCTTAAAACACATCCTCTGATGTTAGCTTCACTATCAACAGTGATAACCCTTATGTGTGACTAAGGTTTGTGTGTATCACTCAGGGTGGTGGCATGACACAACAGAGGTGAGCAGCGGCGGGATGCAGTGGAGGGTCTCCACCATGCACCAGTTCTACACTAGTGTTACCTGATGAAGGTAAAATAGGATAAGATAAACTTTTTATATAAGGTGCATAAACTTTTTTCCAGAATTGAGAAGGAAAGGAGTATTAAACCATTTATTGGGTAACCTGGTTGATTCTCACCTTTCTATACTGTAATGTATCGTTTTCCTCTTCTGTATGGTCATAGTTTGCACCTGATATATGTAGAGTAAGTGGACTAGTGCCAGACCACTGGTCAGTACTTAGCTACATTGTGGTTCAAATTTACTACTAAATCAAACCCAAGCTTAAACTAAGAGTTGTTTGGATTTTAAGGGAGGGTTGAACAGGTACTGTACAGTACATGTACTGTATTATAGTACATTTTTCCCTGCTGGGAAGAGATGCCCTGCCCCCTCCTCAAGAGTTACAACTGAGTGGCTGTTGCAAATCTGTCCGATTTCGTCCTGAGATAATGTTGCAGTATTTCTAAATGAGTTTATTCATAATAATCATTGGGATGACCGTTTCTGACGAGAAAGATATTTAGCTAAATTATATAAAGATACACACATTCATTATTTCAAACATGAGCACATAGGAAGCTTATCAGAAATCTTATACAGTATACATGAATTAACTGTTAAACTCTGGTAGCAAATTCATGCTTTCGGAGGACGCATTTAATATATAGTACTTGTTTTTACCCACAATAAGGCATACTAAGGCAAATTACATATCAATAATACTACATTATGTAAAAACTAACATTTTAAAAGATCAGAATCACATTAAAATCCTTTATTTGTTTTGTTCTTATTAAGAATGGCTGAGGATGACATTTACATAGGAAACTAAAACAAACACATGTGCTACTAGTACAGTATATTTAGCAGTGGATCTCATATTTTTATACCAAATCAATCTAATTTTGTTGTAGCAAATATACCCAGTATACAGTATTTTCTCGATTTAACAGAGTAATTTGAGCAACCCCTTTCCGTTAAATTGAAATTTCTGCTAAATTGAACTTTCCACATTAAATTCCTTGCCAAATGCGCTGCTTAGTGCATGGAGTTTGTTTACATCTGCTCAGTCTGTGTCCTGCCGCCACCGCGTGTGTTGTCCACTGCTACCTCTCGGTCTATATTTCGGTCAACTAACTATTCTGTGTTTAGACATTATGCCGAAAGTCTCTCAGAGGTCTCAGAAACAAAGTGGTGTTGGGAGAAAGTCAAAAGAGTTTGGCTATCAATTGGAAAAGGTTTTGGAAATTATAGAAAAAATTAAAACAAACATCAAACCCCCTAGTTTAACCCTTAAAGGTCTCCCTTCAAAAACTGAAAAGTAGGCTAAAAAAATGAAATTTCTAATCATATGAAATGTTAGCCAATAGGAAATAACATAATTATTACTATACAGGTTGACAACCCTTTATCCGAAATTCCGAAAACCGAAAAGCTCTGAAAACCGAAAGTTTTTTGGGGGGCAAGTTTTTTTTTTTTTTTTTTAAACAGGGATTAGCCCACCCGAGCATAGATCACTGACCCACATCAGGGCATGGGGGGCGAAAATATAATAGTAATAATAATTATAATACATTATTCATAGTAAATAAAAATTTAATAAAAATACACCAAAATAAAATAATAATAATAGATTTAATAATAATAACAATAATACTGTAATAATAAAATAATAATAATAATAATAAAGAAATACAAGAATGAAAAAAAGATCAAAAGTGAGAAACACGACCTAGACCTATGAATTATTATAATTATTATTATTATTATTATTATTATTATTATTATTATTATTATTATTATTATTATACTTTTTTTATTATATTTTCGCCCCCCAGGCCCTAATGTGGGTCAGTGATCTATGTCCGGGTGGGCTACTACTCATTAAAAAAAAAAACCTAACCATTCTGAAAACCGAAAAATTCCGAAATCCGAAATGCCTCTGGCCCCAAGGATTTCGGATAAGGGATTGTCAACCTGTACTCACCACCTATGGTTATTGACGAGTTGGAGAAGTCGGCGAGACATCGTACCTCAGCACCCATCTAGCAGTTATCTCGCATCTGGGAGTGAATGTGTTGGTCCTTTTTATAGATATATATCACACACAAATATATATATTAGCTTTGGAATTAATAAGTGGCAGGGCTGAAGTAAACACTTTGTTGGTTTTTCTTTATTGTAGAAAATTATAGTTCCACAGGTACTTAGTTCAGTTGAGAATATATTATACCTTCTCTACTAGGGGAAGTGTTTTAGTGTACGTACACAGGAGAACACTTAAGTGAGGTGTTCTCTGGGTAACAAAAAATATGAGTCTGATCTCTCCCCAGCCTCTCTTAACCAAGAGAGAGAGGGAGGAGCAGGCCAGGTATGTTATGACTTGGTTGACCTCGCCTACACGTCAGATATAGTACTGTTGTGCTAACATGAGCTGACCTCGCTCGCTCCCCCAAAGGAACTGCAACCTCAGCCATGAATAATGTCAATAGCTGAGGCACAGTTGAATAACTTGGTGAATAATTTGGTATGATACATTTGGGTGAATATTTATACTGGATATAATACAAATGGTGCTGTTACATTAACGGTAGAGCACTACCAACTCACTCCATGTTCTTACAACTTCACAACACCTTCACATGGTTCCTTATTATTACACTATATACACTCTGTGGCTTGAAGTGGCAGGGCTTGGGAGCTGGAGTTCTAAGTGGGTAATCCAGAGAGGTAGATGCATGATCTTCCTCCATGGTAACAACTGTTATACTGATTATTTGCTTAAGATGCGGTCAAGGAGAAGTGTAGGTGAGCGGGGATGAGTTATTGCCACAATAAGAGTCGCGCTACTCACGCGGGAAAATTAAAAAAAATTAACTGCTAGATTGACGACATTGGGCGCTCTGGGACGACTTCAGACCTTTAAGGTTTAAGGTAAGCCATGATAATGTTTCTATGTACATATCATGTTTCTGAGGTGTGAGCGTATTAATGAAATTAATCTCGATTTAGCGAACTAGTTCACTAAATCGAGTGAAAAATAACGGAAAAATTCCTTCTGCTAATTCGAGAGTTTGCTATACAGTACAGTACAGTATATCGGATTCCATTAGCTAGAGAGTATACTGTACTGTACTTGTTTCTGTATCTACAAACATAGGCGACTTTTTAGTGTGGCTATTGTAAAAATTATTTTAAAATTTCTGTCCACATTATTTATGTATTGTAGCAATATGTGCTTTTATGTGCTAATAATGTTTTGCAGGTTAAAATGCCTTTCAAGTTGCGGCTAAAGAAGACAAGGCATTATAATGTGTTGTCGCGCAATGTGCTCGTCATCAGCGTAGAGCTGCTAGACAAGACCACACTAGAGTGTACACTTTCAGCTGATTCAACAGGCCAGGACTGTCTACACAATGTGTTTCAGAGGCTCTCATTACACCAGGTACTGTTGTCTCTTGGGACTTGTCTTTATGTAATTTTGCAGTCAAGAATACAGTACCATTATAAAATACAGTACAGTATTAGTATTAATTTCATTTTTTTTACAGTTAAATGTTGTGTATTTTCTTAAACACACCATGTGGAGTTGGTGGTAAAACTTGAAGTGTAAAGAAAAGAAGAAAGTTGAACATGGTTGTAGGAAGGAAAGATGTTTTTTGATGAAGCTGTAGCAGACAACAGTGTTGTAGATTTTGAAACTTCAACATTTTGTATAGACTGAAATACAGTTCTGAAAGAAAGTAGAATGATACCTGATTAACTATTAAAACATTACCTATTTCCTGCAGCTTCAAAGATGCAAAGGGGAAATTTGTCAGTTTTATGGGTTTGCTAATGAATTTTAGGAAAGACTCCATCAAGGTTGGTACAGTGCTGTGAACCTGATATTTGGTGAGTGGGGAACACAACAAAATACCAGAGAATGAAATGGCCTTTTAAGGGGATGATATACAGTAGAATAATTGGGCAGACACTGGTTAAGAGTTAACAGTGATTTTCTCAGTTTGCTTTATCTTAATTATATTTTTTATAAACTTATGTGTTTTGTGAAGACTTTTATGGGTCAGCTATGTGAAGGGTAGGCAGTGACCCATCTGGAGCAATGTAAGTAGTATTATACTGTTGGTTATGATTTTAGTTCAGTAGATTTTAGAGTCTGTATTTGACAATGCATTCTATTCCAGCCTGAATTTTTTGGTCTACGTTACATGAGCAAGAAGCCATACCCCAAAGTCAGATGGGTAGAACTGGATCGACCTTTGAAGAAACAGTTAGACAAATATGCTCAATCCCCGGCCCTTGCATTAGCTGTCCTTTACTATATCCACGATGTGTCTCTGCTGCAGGATGATGTCACCAGGTGAGTTTTGCCAGAGATGTTGGTGTGACCTCCAGCTGACATTTACAGTAGCTGAAGTCTCCCTTAACTAGACTAATTGGTATGTGGCACCTGTCTAGTTAAGAGAAAATTCTGATTGTTTGTAAACATTCTCATATAGTAATTCACTTAACTGATAGAAAATAAACACAAAATAATAGAAAATGAATAAAAACAAAGAAAGTTTTGAAGGTAAATGAAGAAAGAGAAAGATAGAGACAACTCAGCATAGGATTGTACAGTACATGTATTTACCATTAGAAGCTGTAGTGGTGGTAGAAGTAAGGCAGCAGGTACTGTGCTGTGGGTGTAGTGGACATAAGATAGTATATATGCTGCCTACTTCACCCCTACAGTATATGGTTTGTACCATTAGTTTTTCATAAGTATGTTTATAATGTGTGCCAAGATAAATAAAGTAAAATCATCAAGCCTCATTGGAGAGAGTAACGTGAATAGTAGAGAACTAACATAACCCACATTAATGACCAAAAAGGATTAATTGTTTTTTTTTTTTTTTTTTTATAGGTCACACTACTTCCTGCAGGTTAAGCAAGATGTGTTGGAGGGTAAACTACGGTGCAACCATGAGCAAGCTGTTCTGCTTGCCTCTTACAGTCTCCAAGGTTAGTCACTGTCATTTGGCATGGCTCCTCCAATCATAAATAGTACTGTATGACCCAAAAGTAGAAGCCAGATATTGCCAAGAGTTCAGATAATTTTGTTTGCAACTATACTGATGTTTGGAAATCGAGGATTGCATATCCAATCCCTTTCATTATACATTTGCATTAACTAATAAATTTGATTTTAACCCAAAATCACTGCCTGTACAGTATATACAATATATCTATATTTGTATCAAGGAATAATTACAATGGAATCAATGGGAATAAGGAGGGGAGGGTTCTGAGTCTCTCTGCCCTAATTCATCGATGAAATAGGTTTTCTGTGATCAATCCTTGATTTCTTGTACCAATCAAAGGAGCCTTGTGATTGAGGAACCAGCTAAATAAAGAGATGAGGCTGTATATCTAATCTGTACTGGCTCACTCTGCAGGGGAGGTTTCCTTCTATCTAATGCATCAGACATTGCCCCTGTACACTCTCTTTACTGTCCTTTCATGCATTGTTCTCACATTTCCATACCATCTCAGTGACCTCCTTTTTACCGATTCCACCATCCTACAGGTTATCTTTGCCTTCTCTGCCTTTCCTAAATCCCTATACTGTACACATCACTGTTTTTTAATCCTTCTTTTCTGGTTACCCCAAATACAGCTTTCAGGTAATTTATCTCACTGGGTTGAATTTTAGGACCTCTTCTACCTTTCCAGGTTTCTATTTCTTGGCCATCAATTAAAATAGGAAATACAGTCCCTGAGTTCCTTCTTTACACTGAAGCTTATGTTCCTGACCTTCATGATACTACCCAGCTCTCCAATTACCCTTCTCTTACTTCTCTCACAGCAATGCTTCCACAAGTAACACCAGCTACTGGATTTACCCCCATGTTTGTATTTCCAGACACCCATGTACAGTGTCTTTCTACTCTCCTAATAATATATAGCAGTGATTCTCTATGCATACGTCTGACTGTGTTGCTTCCCCCCAAAAAACTTATGTTTGATTCTTTATTTCTTCGTCAAACAGCTGAATTTGGTGACCACCAGCCAGATCGTCATACAGCAGAATACCTCAAGGATTTTATGCTCTTCCCAAAAGTAAGGTTAAAGCCAGTTTGTTACTACAATATGTTGATAATATAAAATTTTGGGGGGGAAATCACTTTACTGCCGGTTTAATAGTACCACACAGATGATTTAAGTTGTTGTTAGTATAAACTTCACTTTATACTTTTGGTGTTTGTTTTTGTTTTCTACTCTTTTCTTAAATTAATCCTTAACCCAGTGTACAGATTTGTGGCTGCAACGTCTTTTGTGCATTATACACTATCATATTTCTTCAGATACTACCATCCACTTCCCCTTCTCTATGTATATCTGTGCTCATTATATCCATCTTAATCAAGTAAATATTATCCATGTTAAGTACTGGTATATCTTACACTTTTTATTAACCTTAATTTTGATGGTTGTGTATGGTGGAGCAGCAGGTGGGAAGTGATGGGGAGGTGGCAGCATTGCTGGAGGCGGTGGTGTGGCAGTATTCCTCGCTACAGGGCCTAGCACAAGCCTTGGCTGAGACTTACTACATACTAGAGGCTCAGCGTCTTGATGGGTATGGGCAAGAAACTTTCATGGCCAGGGTAAGTTTCTGCATAGTTTTGTACCCTGCGAGAGGCATACTTTCCTAACCATCAAAATTCCAAGTCATCTTTTTCCTTGAATGTGAATATTAGTTTTTAAGTACTTGCATCTGAAGTAATAAGTGTTAGGAACAAAAAACTTTTAATGTTCAATTACAGTTTGCTAAATTAAGAATTGTTCATCTCTGTACCTTTAGCTTAATAACTCGGTATTATTGCAGGATGAGCGTGGTAGTGAGGTTTATCTTGGCACATCACTTATGGGTATAGATGTCAGACCTGCAGCTGGGCACACGCACATATTCTACAGGTGAGGTTATTTTGCTTTTGTAAGGGAGCCATTCATTAGTAACAATGGAGAGAATAACTCTGATGAGTCATTGACCCAGTGATACAGAGGTGTACAGGTATGCTCTTATTTTTCATACCTGTAAAGTACCTTTACTATGCTGTTCAATACCTGAATACTTATTGCACGATGCAAGGCATAATGAGATTCCTTAATCACATTTTATGTGTGTACACAACTGTATTTGGTCACCATATCTTGTGTACAAATTCCTATTTTTTCTCAGTTACATTATGGCAAAAGTGAGGAACTTGTATTTGTACTAGCTCTTTATTCTTTAAAAAGCTGTTATGAATAAATTTTATTTTGACTACTTGATGTACCTGTATGGGTCTTCTTTTTATACAGTACAGTATCTTTGTTTAACCCCTTGTATCATGTATTGCAGATGGAATGACATTACGAACCTGGTCAACAACAAACGTAACTTTGGTATCGAGTGTCAGCGAACAGACGAAACTGTTCACTTTACTTTTGATGAGCCTGATGCTGCCAAGTATGTTTGGAAGATGTGTGTCAAACAGGTGAGTTAGTGCATATGTATTGGATTTTAGGTTTCCATATTATCTACAGTATATCTTTATCTATCTTTCTGTCTATTCATATGAGACATTGTATTCTTCTCAGGGTCAAAGGAATTGTAAATTATTTTAGATTGTAGTGCCTTGAAAGTTAATATTCGCCTATGTACAATAATTAGCTCTTTTAAATAAAGGAATAAGTCCTGGGTAAAAGATTTTAAAACTTTGATAAAATTAGAATATTTAACGTTAATGCCATTATGTCAGTTTTGTCTTGCAATGAGATGAACACCACAAACATCATTTACTGCTGTGCTGTATAACTTGTAAATTTAACAGTGTGGGGTCACATCCTCTCATAAATTCTGGGAGGGTTTAAACCATTTAGTGTGTATCGTGTTATATTACCTTCCAAGTTGTGTTGTTAACATTTTGGTGGTGATTTGTAAGACAAATTATTCATATCAGGAAGACTTCTACTGAAATTTTTATAGCCATTACAGGGGTACAGGATGTATTGTCCTGTAGTCCCAATTTCAGGTTTATTAATTTGGTTTCACGTCCCACTGAATATTAATCTTGGTTATCTCGGACTAATTATGGAATATTTCAGCACACCTTCTACAAGAGGAACCAGGAGGTACTGGAAGGGAACAGTGGCACTGATACCCGTAGCCTGGCCATCCCAGACCTACAGAGCTCTGTCATGACAGCACAGCTCCAGCACCTCAGTGCTTCACATGATATGGTTAGTCACATACTGTCATTGTCTCTTGAACTAGCATTGATCAGCCACTTTTCATTATACTGGCTTACTACATGCAAAACTTTTTGTGTTAATTTTGTAGCCAATTCCATATGACCTATTAATTGAAAATGATATTCTCCCAGAGGATTCCACTTTGAGATCATCAGTATTATTATTTGCAATTTGATAATTAAAGCTCTGTTAATAGTTCTCAGATTGTTTGATAAACAAGTACTAACACAAGAAAGGATTGAGAGCTATGTTAGGAGTGTAGTACAGTACAGTTTTTAATATTGGAAGATTTGAATATAATGTGGAATCAGCTGGGCATAGTTAAGAAATGGCAGATGGAATATTAATAAGTTGAGGGCATTTTTTATTATTAATATATTTTATTTATATTTTTTATGATTAGTGTTACTATCCCCGGCCCCGGTGTGGGTTAGTGATCTGTGCCCTGGTTGGCTAATCCTCATAAAAAAGTGATATATTGAAGACTGCTGAGAACTAAAATGTTCTATGGCTATTGATTATCCCCAAATTGATTTAACCACCCAGGATGATAAAAGTATAGAATAAATTGAGAAATAAATAATATTTTGATATGTCAATTTATATAAACTAAATGTATAAGATATCGCTGTAAGAATAGCCAAAAGGGAGCATAGCACTCCCTTTCTTCCACTCTTAGTAAAGAACTGGGTCTAAAAACAAATGCAGTTTTACTGCTACAGGTGAGTGTTGTATGTAATGCATTTTAAGGGGGCTACTTATGTACAGAATTTCTCTCTGATGGTATATTTAATTTCTCTAAAATTTTCTTCACAGGTGGATAGTCGTGGTGGGCTGGGAGAGTTGACCATGAGGAGCTCTGCAGATCAGGGAGCCTTAGCCTCCTACACCACCACACTGCCACAGTTTGATATGTCTTATATACAACAGGTCAGTTCCTCGTCTTGGTTACACTAGCAACAGGGGTGTGATGTATAGGTGCCCACAGATATAGTGTTCCATCCCTCAGTGGTCTACGTGAACATGTACCAACGTCAGAATCACTTTATGAATAAATCCGACACTACCACATGTTCAGAAAGGCCACTGTGGGATGGAACACTATACTTGTGGGCACCTGTACTTGTTTGGACTAGAAGTTCATTGAGAGCTCTTATGTTTATTTTCTGTTGGCTTCTCTATACGGTATTCGCTTATATTTTGTTATATCCTGAGTATGGTGGAATCTTACCAGGTTTTGAGATGACGGCTTTCCATTGTTGCATGAGGATTGTCACTACAGTAGATCATTTTATGTTTGCTTTAAATAACTTTAGGGATTAAGAGCACTTTAACTTAAGAAATTTGTTGAATATACTGGAGATGACTGTGGCACTTACTCTTCAATACATATATTTAAAAACCTGGGAATCCCTTTATGAATACTATACTTTGTAATTGATTAGCCAGAATTGAAGCCTTGATATTAAAGATACTAAATTACAAATACAGCATGCCCTTACAATTCGCATCCTTCGATTATTCGCGAATGATACCCTGGATACAGTATACCCAAGAATGTCTGCAGGTAGTTTTAAAGTATGTACTTGGCATTTTCACAGCCAGGACAGGGAATCCGCAAGATTTATGGCATCCCGCAAGGTGTTTCTCTTGTCCCAGGTGGTTGGGCCATGTGCGCTCACTAAACCTCATTGACAGTCCGGGTTAAATGCTTGTCTGGTTCGTGCATGTGTTACTCTGCTCTCTAACAACTGTGCTCCTTGTGCTTGTGATGGCTCCCATATGTCCTCAACCACCTTCATCCAGCTGCAGGAAGGTGCCCAAACAAGTGAAGAGAGAAAAAAAGATCATGTATTTCTCCCATACATGTGCCTGGCAACAGTAGTGGGTAGGGGAGTGAGTGACTGCTAGTTAGCACTTCGTTTGCAGTTGTAACTCTTCTCACTCCCTGCCATAGTTCACTGAATTTAATGTTATTATAAGTGTTTACTGATAGAATAGTGATTACTTATGGTATTATAGCTAGGTTAGTTCATCATTGTAACCACCAGGCTGCTGGGCCAAGCTTTGAGATGTTATGGTTTTTTCAGCTGTTATTTTTGGGTAGATTTATGTAACATTTTTTATTTATTTTCACTTGGTTACATGCACACACCATCTTAATTACATAGTGAAAAAAGGTAAAGGAAATAATTGTTCTAATGGCAAACACGTAATGGGAGAAAAGCATAGTGTGCAGCTGGTGGGGAGCGTTGCTAGGGAATCAATGTTGCAGCTGATCTTCGTTACTATGGTGGAGCAGGTAGTGTATGCAAATGGCGAATATGTTAAACTTTCATTTAGCTTTTATTACTGGTTTGGCAATAATAATGTTTTTTTTTTAACTTATTTATTTGTGTTATATTTATTTATTCCTCACATTACCTGGTACTGTATATTTTATTTTAAGAAAACTACGGCTGTGAGGTGTTATGGTTGTTTTCCAACTCATATTTTCGGGTAGATATACGCAACTTTCTTCATTTATTTTTACTCAGTAACATGCACACACCATCCTACATACATACTGTAAAAAAAGTACAGTATTACACCACAATTACTGACATCCTTCGTGTTGGGTTGGCTACTGAAGAAATTTTGTTGGTTTGATCTACGTATCAAGCCAGCTGGCGCTCAGATGCCATTCGTTCTAGAGACTTATTTTGACAAGAAATTGCCATATGTCAACTCAATCAACCCAACTTTAATAGCAAAGCATAGAGTTGATTTGAGGGTAGACTCACATTTTTTCTTACATCTCAAAACATTTTGTTGTTTTGTCTGATTATTTGTGAGAGGATTTTCCCATTATGATTTATTTGAGTGTGTGGCTACACACACACACACACACACACACACACACACACACACACACACACACACACACACACACACACACTCTCATACACTCATATATATACAGTACAGGTAAAATAAATAATTGCCCTAAGGGCAAACAAAGGCAATATACGTTTGTTTGCACAAAAATTAAAATGTATATCCCCCCCCAATGGTCAGCAAATGACATTCGCGGTTCTGGCAGTTCACGGCCATTTTGAGACCCAAACCCCACGAACATTAAGGGCATGCTGTATGTCTTAGCCTTTCCACTTGGAATACTAGAACATGTATTGTTGTCATCCATACTCAGGCTATGTAAATAATTGGTGCTGGATAACCTAGGCTTTTATCAGCTGATTGTCTTCTTCTATTATTAAATTTAAAAATATATTTAATGTATCCTTAGACATAATTAATGCTTCTCTAAGAAATTAAACATTAAAGACACATTTAAATGTTCTTACACTAAAGGCAAAGAGGCTACAGTACGATGCAGTAGTGAACCGACCAGTGGTGAAGAGGATAAGAGTGCAGTACAGTAATCAATTCTTTGAGACTACTTTTTCTCACTTCAACACTAATTCCAATATTTCAAAACACTTATTAACATATAATAACTCCGAGTCTTAACAACAGTTTCTGGGCTGCAGTTGCTCAGACTCAAGGTGACTCATGTTGTGAGGTTACAACATACTGGTGGGGGAACTACGTCTTCATCAGCAGATCGACTCTTTGTTTGATAGTTATTTATATCTTTAAAAACCTAGTTAATGAAACATACAATATTAAGAGTACAGTACTACTGTATTTAATGCTTCACCAAGAAATGGAACATTAAAGATATACAGTATTTAATGGTTTTCTTACACTTGAGGTCACAGCCTCATTTAAAGAAGCCAGAAATTGTCAGTTGTGAACTGTTGTACAATATTACCAAGCCAGAGAATATTGTGACAGTTTGGGTTGTGAACTGTTGTAATTACTGTACCTGCATTTGCACAAATTGTATGTATGATTGGCTCATGAAGGCCCATTGTACCAGTAATGTTGGCAGTGCTCTCTGTTCAAAAAGTTCAATCACTAATTTTCATCTCAACCAAAATATATTTTCTTTTGTCTCTTGCTCTCAGCATCACACTTGAGGCGCTCAGCATTACAAGGGGGTAAAGCGCCAACCCGGGCAAAATGCGTTTTTTTGGTGGATATTACTATTTCCACCCTTCCTCTACATGTTGGCGTTGGATGTAACCCCCTAGCTAGACTAGAAATATGGTTGAAAGTCCTTTCACATCCCATTCAGAGTGAGAGGAGCAATTTTTAGAGAGGGCAGAGAAAGACTTTGAACAGCACGTGATTTATTATGACGAGGCCATTAAAGTTATACGCACTCCTCAGAATTTACATAACTTTAACTTACTACAATCGTCTGGAATAATAAAACTAAGGAACTAAACAAAGTATGATTGTAATACTATTATCATAATACTTTTTTTTACCCAAGATTATGCAAAGTTTCTTCGCCTTTGTATTTGTATGTTAATTACGTTGGGGGGGATGTTTCCTTATTATTATACACTACGTATTATACCAAACATTATTATAAATCTTTGGCTAATAATAGGGATCGAAAGATAAATACTGATAGGCAAATGAGTTTTTTTAAATTCTTTCTTTCTTTTTTTTTGGGGGGGGGGTGGGTGTAAGACGAGTGTTGCTTTTGGTGACCATTAACTTGTTTTACAGTATTATTCGACAATAATAAGAAAATTTTGCAGAAAATGCGATTATTGTTGGTTTGAAGTTCAAACAACCATACATGATGGGTAGTTATTCTCATTCAACTCTTAATAAAATAATATCTATTCACAGTACTAACTCCCAGTTTTCAAGTTCGCTAGGAGAGGGATTGAGCTGCACGATAAAAAAAATAACCCTCTTGCTTAAAAAACAACAAAGTTATGGTTGTTTGAACTTCGAAAAACTTTTAACACGTTTCTCTCTGCTTTTTAAATTTGGCGCTTCACCCCCTTGTAATGCGGAGCACCTCACTTGTTACTCTTTGGTCACTTAGCCAGTCATAACGATATATGTGTGACCCAGAGGCGGGCTCTGGCATGATGGCGCCTTTATATGGTGTGGCTTGTGTTAAGTTGGAGCTACCTGTATTTTTTCTTTATATTATTTTTTATAACAAAACAATAAATGATATGTGTATGACCAGAGTGGATAAAGTGCCACTGTGGTCAAAATCAAGATTTATTCACAAAAGGATAAGGAAACCACATCTGCATCCCAAGAGAGATTCGGTTACTGAGAATGGAAGTGGCAATATGGTCAAATTTGCTATTAATTAAAACTACCCACGTATCACTATGTGCGGGGCTGACGGTTAGGGTGGCGGGCAGAGGTCTCCATTTTTTCTCTTGGTGGTTTGTCCATTCTGGTTGTATGTGCCTCAAATATGGATTGTACGTATTTTGTTACAGTATTTTTGTTATAAAGAGATTTGGCAAGCCAAGGAGTTAGACATATGATTACTTAGTGGGATCTCGGGAGCAAACTCCCGTGGTCTGGTCCTGAGGGTGACGGAATATAGAGGTCAGACCTGCAATATGATTTAATTTGGTTTTATAGGAGATGTTTAAATGTGGAATTGAATAAGTTTATGTTAATTATTTATTTTTATATTTTATTTATTTTTTATTTTTTTCACTTAGTCGGCAGAGTCAAGTGGTCACCTGGGTGCTACAGTAGAGTCTTCCAGTTCACAGTTGATGAGTGACCCATCATATGCGTTGTTGTCACAGTCAGCATATTCTTTAAATACCACTCACCATCCTCAACAGAACCAAGTTAGTTAAAAAAAAATTCCTGTTGAAAATTATCTTTTCTTTTACCTCAGGGCACCTTAGGTATCCCTGAGTATCTACATCATAATGTAACCTCCTCATAGGAGTTGAGAACAAATTATAGATTCGATGTCGAGTAAAGATTGTTGATTTTTTATTTATTTTTTATATTATATTATGAAGAGAGCACAGGGTGAGGATTGGGGGATTTTAGAGGAAGTAAAAATTGAAGAAGCTTAGTCAGTAATATGTATGGTGTTGTAGGTTCATACACTATATTCTCCTCATATTACTCTGTTATACAGGGAAAGGTCTGCTGTATGGCTTTCTTTTTATGTCTTAAAGGCCTTACTAGTTTTGTTGTTTAAAATTAACCATGTGAAGGGCTGGTCCATTACCAGAGTGTGGTATGAAAAAACTTTATCACTAAGGCTCATTAATAACTTTTATATCACTTCTAGCGTGTTGCTAGGGATACCCAAAGAATGTTCTATACTACTGAGGGTATACACAAACACTTGTTGTCTTAAAAGTAGGTTCTATTCTCGTACGGGAGATATATATATACAATAGGACGCAGAAGCCCGTGGTCACGCCACGAGGACTCTGTCTTCTCTCTTTATCTATCTATGTATTACTACGCGCTGGCCTGTACAGATGCCAGCATTCACAAGCTGAATACATAAAGTATAAATGTGATAATTTATATACATAACATGGTGCACAATAAATGGAATATTACATAGAATTAATACATGTTCTGTAATACTTTACTATACATAATTAATAAGAGTAATATAAGAGTAATATAATAATATACAGCTGAAGGTACTACTTTGTGTCCATATATATCATACATCACTATACAATAATATTATGGTGAGACAAGGCATTGGGCTTCTTACCTGATTGCATATCAGGTCTTGCTCAAGAGCAACCATGCACTGACATTGCAGATGATTTTTGGGCAATTCTGTTGGACCAATTTCATCTGAAGGTCAAACTGAATTGCCTCATGTGCTTGCAAGCACTTTCATAGTAAAACAAAGCTTTAGACATTAAACAGCAAAATGCAAAGCTTAAGAATGAGGAGGCATAGTCCTAAAGTAGGAACTGGACTGTGAGAGCATTATGCAAAGGTAGGAGGTATGGAAATATTTTCTGGTCACTGGAAAAGTTGCATTGGGACATTTGGGATGAAGTGAAGTTAGTTGAATAAATTGAAATTGCACTAGTGAGAAAGAACATCAGTTTATATATCCAGATGGTGAAAAACATGGAAGAGGCTTATGATACATATACTTGTGAACCAGAAGATGGTGGTTGTGTAAATAGTTACTGGGCAGGGTCAGTACAGTAGATGTCTATAAATAAATTTTAAAGCTAAACTAATGGACTCGGCAATAATTCAAGTATGAACCAACACATGATAGTGTGGATGAAATTAGAGAAAAGAAATGTGAAAATTTAAAGAACGAAAAAGAAATTTAAAGTGTGATTAGGTAAGGGAAAAAACGCACCATAAAGAGGACCACATGGGTTTGCTGATAGATATATTTCATGGATTTTTTTTTTTAAGAAATAAAGATAGTTATTGCAAATTGGTGGTTTCAGTATCATCTAAGATGTACATGGATAGAGCCTCCAGGATAACGGCACTATTGTTGTGAAAAATCAAATTGATTACATTATATCTCCAGAAAAAAATTAATTTGTGTGCATGAAAAATGTATAATAAACTCAAACATAATTGCTATAATGTGCATTATAAAATGTGGATAAATTTCATGTAACATAATCAGGTCATTGTGATTGGTGATGCTAGTTCATTAGTTATTCAGATGGTAAGTCTTCTGCCAGCCATCTTGGATGTGCCATGGAAGCAAGAATAGTGTTGGTCAATGCAGATCATTTTATAACATCCTTGCTACATTTGTTTCTTCTTTGTAATAGTTCTGCGTGTATTATAAAGTACTGTATGCAAAGTGCCCTGTATAACATTCTGGTGAAGTTGCATCAAGCAAGAAAATGAGAGAGAAAATTTTAACTTAAAACAAAGATAGAAATAATGCCTGCCACTGTCTTCACCACTACACACTAACACATCCATCAGTATCTCCAACGTATTTATGAGCAAAATATTCATTCCTTTGTTATTAAATCATGAATCGTATTATAAGCCCACTTCTAAGATTTATTGTGTCAATGGTATCACAAATACTATTGTACTTTGACTAACATTTGGGAAGACACATAGTCAAATGTCTTGAGGAATATTGGGTATTTATTCCCACATACTCACGAGTTCACACAACACTGTGTACAAAAACAAAGCCTTGTACAGGAATTTAACCCTAAAATTTTGTGGGGGTTTTACTGTAATAGGAAGTAGCATTTGTTTTATTTTGTTTATCTTTCTCTATAAAGCTCTTAAAGTTTGTGTAGTTATATTTATATTTTCTTTTGACAGGTTGTCTTAACATCTCATAATCAAGTGTCACAACCATCAGCTTTGCAACAACAACAACAGTCTCAACAGCAACAACAACAGCGGGATGGAGGAGGGCAACAAGTGACTCTCTATTCTTCAAATCTTAGTCTTCCAACAACCAGAACAAGTTTTAGAAGGTTTGCTCTACATTTACTTGTTTATTTGATATAGCTGAATGGAAACACCTTACTCAAAGTGTTTAAGCCAGGCTGTGCAGTTTAGCAGTCCCTGGCAGTCTTGCATGCTGAGACTAGGGGGCCAGGCAAGTGATTTTTCGTGTTCTGGTGAATGGACTAATATTTTGAGGTAAATACCTAGATGGAAATTTGTCATAGTATGCTATGTGACCCCATCTCCCCATACATGTTTAATCAGGACTAGTGACCTATGTCAGGTGCAGGTAATTTACCTCTACATTAAGCTGCCAACCTACCTCTAGTCAGTCAGTCAGTCAACTTGTTAACATTACAAAGGAACCACCAAGCTGAGAGGCCCTAGAAGTGAGGCGACAGGAATTATGACTTCACATGACAAGTGTTGCTGCCACTGGCACCAGATTATGGGGGGGGATGATAATTAGGGTAGGTGATCAAGGAGCCACCTACACACCCTGTAGTTGTGAGGTGACGAGTTATGACCTCACATGACGAGTGTTATCACCACTGACACTAGATTGTAGGGGGGTAGATAGAGTAGGTGTTCACAGGTGCTGGCTCTGCCTTCCTACACACCATGCAGGTGTGAGGTGAAGTGACAGGAGTTGACATCACATGATAAGAGTTACCACCACTAGCACCATTTAGATGGACACAAGGGATCTGTGAGACATGCATTAGGTATCGCACATAAAAGGAAATTGCTGCACTAAAAGGGTGCATGGGTCTGTTGATTGCAAGACAAAAGCTTTTAATGGATTGATTTTAAGGTTATAAATTTTATACTGTTTGTTATAATTGCTCAAAAATGTTTCTCTGTTGTATGATGGTAAGTTACTCACAGGTATCATTATGGTGATCACAATGATCCCACGTGACTCTCAGTTAGTCATAAATATGTCAAGTGACTCACAGATGTTGCTTGTAATGCAGTTACTCACATGTCCTCATAATGACCCCAAGTATATGACAGGTGCACATAGTGACACTGAGTGACTCACTTTATAGAGGGTGTGTGTTTCCCAGTGAAGGAAAGAAGCATTGATATACATTAAGGTACAGGAACAGTTTGTGTGTCTTCTCCATCCACATGCACAGCTTGGTAAACATTTTCTGTAATACCCACTTGTCTTCTAGCTGCATCCTGCTTCTCCATTTACTGTACAGTAGCTAAAACAACTATCTGTGCAGGTGTGGGTCGATATGCTCTAAAAAAAATCGTGTGACTAGTGACAGCTCTCATATACCAAAATTCATCGTCCATGGTCTCATATTGTTTCCCACAAAGTATGCACAGATAGTTGCTTTAGCTACTGTGCATACAGAGGTCACGCAACTATCTCCTGATCCCAAATGTTTCCAGTTAATTGGTCCCGTTCCTAGATGCTCAATTTTAGGAAAACACAACACTTCTCCCAACAGTTATTTTGTATTTTGTTTGCCGCAGGAGCCTCCTCCCTCAGTACCGGCCAGCGCCAGACTATGAGACTGCATTAGTACAGAAGTATGGACCTGGAGTAAACCCTGCCAACTTAAGGGCCACCATGTTGTACTCTTCTCAGCCAGAGATCTCCAATAGTCATGTAATGGAGGGAACTGCTCATGAGTGTAAGTGGAGGATTCAGCCTTGAGATCCATAAAGTTCATTGCCATATCTGTTTGACTGTAAGGTATAAGAGTTAGGGTAGAAGTTGGCAGTACTGATGTAAGCTTTTTATACTGCAGGAGCATGCATTGAAACACAGAAAATGAGAACAAATTTGGAAGAATAGAATGGAAAGTGAAATTGTGTACTGTAAAGTGTTTGTTTGATTGATTGATTGGAGTGCCTTGGACCCACATAATAGGAGGTTCAAGGGGTTATACTGCTGATGATTCTGACCCTAGCAGATGGATATGCATTTTATTCCAGCATATTGCTGGAACATTGCATATTAGAGTGGATGGTTTACTTAGGTGAAATGTTACATTTGTGAGGAATGATATTAACAAACTCCCAGTCTGTGTTTTGCTTGTCCCTCTGAAGGATAACCTGGGAGTGGTTGCCTTCTCTCTAGTGTGGAACTATTGGGTGATAATACATACCTTCACATGATTGAATCAGTTTAAAGAAACATAATTTTGCATCATTAGGCATAGTGGGGGAACATGGGAGCACAACGAGCCTAACCCAGCTTTTATTTGGGGGGAGGGGGTGCTGTAGGCCCCCCACCCCACTATTTTTTTTTTATCTGACCAATATTATGAACATTTAAAGGCCATTTGAAGCCATGTGTTTTTGATATTAGGAGATATTCTGAGGTCAGTAGTAATTACTTTCTACTATACAAAAATGCCTTAGTACACTTCTGTATTAAAGAAAAAAATATTCAATTTTCTGATGAAAAGGGGGATCTGGACCCCCCCCCCCCATGAATCCACCCTTGATAGTGGGGCATCAATGGGGGTGGTACATTAAATGCTCTTAAGAATAAAAGCAAAATTTGCTCCTTTTAAGAATTATGTTTCTTCCTCATAATGATTAGATACGTATAAGTTTTTCATGATATTTATTTAGTTATACTAAATTCCGAGTTTAAACAGTGTCACAACCTGCTGGAGGAGTGGGCAGCTATAGCCATTACAAGGGCTACACGGACCTGTCCCTACATCCTGACCCATCTGTACCTCAGCTAAGCAGATCAGCCGGAATACTCATGCCAGGACCTCTACACAATACATACAGGTGAAAACTTGTACTCTAGGTTACCACAGACCTTGAGCTGTACAACAAATTATCCCTTAACCAAATTAATCGTTGTGTGGCTGGTCTTTTTTTATCCTTTTTTGATGATCAATTGAAAATTTTGGGTAACTGCCCAGACAACAGTTCTTGGGGTTTTCATGAAATCAGCATTTTATTCTTACTTAAGAATAATTGAGCTTAATGCCTTTGTTTATTTATAAAATCCCGTCTTTTGGGGCTTTATGTTTTAGTAGTTATCCATTGATTTACTATAAAGGTATGGGAGAATTTGAATGTGTGAAGGGAGTAACTACTGTATAATAATCATCCTCATAATTCTTATGATCAATAATTTCTTGCTTATTATACTTGTTTAACCTCTACGCCCCGGGCTAGAGAGCCGCTGGCCATCCCCCCACGGGAGGTAAATCGTGAAAGATGTACTTTTCCAAGAATAATCTTTAACCTTTTTAAATGATAAAACAATAATAAAGAAGTAAGAAAAACTATATATTGACCCTCTAGAAACTCCCCTGGGGCAGCAGTGGCGAGGGAGATAAGGGGACAGTGTTGTTTTGACAGCTGGCGCTCGTGGTCACTACGCACTTAGCGGCCATTTTCTGCTTACCTTTGTGTCCGGGATGGCCAGTAATTCATATATTTACTGATCATAATACTTATTTCCTGTAAATAATTCATTTAGAATTTATTTTATTTGCATTATTTTTCATAAAAAGTGCTCGGTGACACACGCAGTCTGTCACCAGGTTGAGGGACGAGTTTCCATGGTGACAGGCTAATGCGTACTAACCGCACTGAGCCCACCCATTCTACCCTGTGAGTGGTGTGACCACCAAATAGTCATGCTGAAACCTAATAACCCGGGCTGGGCATTCAAACAATGGCGCGAAAAGGTGCGCGTTCCAGAACGTCAACCGGGGCGTAGGGGTTAATATCTAAAAATGTGCACCTCAGGCTAGGGACCCATGTAACTGTGCAAACTCATTCAAATGTGGGCAAAAACAGGAAAATACAGTCAACCCTCACTTTACGCGGTCCCACATTCCGCATTTCCACGTTTACAGGGTGCCCTGCCAGAACCCAGGATGCTCACATTCCGCGGTGGGTGTACCCCTTTACACGGGTGAAGTATAATTTTTTATTTAGCTCATAAAATTCATACAAATTATCCGGCCAGAATATAATTTACATTGCTGGAATTCTTACAATTTGATGATCATTTTGAATATAAACATCATAGATTTTGCATTAGACATACAAATTTTAGATATAATGTTTACTCTGAGTAAATATGTTATCTTTTGTGCAAAATATATGACATTTATATTCAAAATATTCCTGGTCTTACAAGGAATCCAGCAATGTCAATTATATTATCCTAACTTTAGTCTGATTTATTATTTATTACTAAAAAGGTAAACAGTCTGGTATTCCCAGTCTGGTAGGGAGGGAGGGACCGGTGACCGACCACCTGGCACCATGGTGTGAAGAATATTTTTTTTTTTTATTAACTGAAGATATTTGTTTTAGCTCATAAAATTCATACAAATTACCCGGCCAGAATATAATTTACATTGCTGGAATTCTTACAATTTGATGATCATTTTGAATATAAACATCATATATTTTGCATTAGACATACAAATTTTAGATATAATGTTTACTCTGAGTAAATATGTTATCTTTTGTGCAAAATATATGACATTTATATTCAAAATATTCCTGGTTTTACAAGGAATCCAGCAATGTCAATTATATTATCCTAACTTTAATCTGAGGTATTATTTAATACTAAATGTTAAAATCTAGTTTTTTCACCCAACCTTTCTCTTGAAGGGAGGATTGGTGGGGGGGAGGGTTGGGGCGGATCGACCATCTGGCCAGGTTGGCAGAGGGGGGGAGGCAAGGTGGGGTACTTTGATTGACAGATAGTGTCCTGAAGAATATTTTTTTTTTTTATTAACTGAAGATATTTGTTTTAGCTCATAAAATTCATACAAATTACCCGGCCAGAATATAATTTACATTGCTGGAATTCTTACAATTTGATGATCATTTTGAATATAAACAACATAGATTTTGCATTAGACATACAAATTTTAGATATAATGTTTACTCTGAGTAAATATGTTATCTTTTGTGCAAAATATATGACATTTGTATTCAAAATATTCCTGGTCTTACAAGGAATCCAGCGATGTCAATTATATTATCCTAACTTTAGTTTGAGGTATTATTTATTACTATACCTGGTTTTCCCCAAAAATTTCTCAGAGAGGGAAGAGCCAGGAGTGTAGTGTGAGAAGAGGGGGAGGGAGTTGAGTCCATTATTTGAATGGACATTAACTTGGCGACTGTATTTCTCTATTTCTCTTAAGTATTAATTGTGTGCATGTACCATCATAAAATTTAGATGTTATTTTTACTAGAACATGGGTATTGTGTTGGAAAAAGTGGAGTTTGGGGGTCAGCTGGTCTCTATTTCATTTAATCCCATATGTTATGTTATTCACTTTACACGTTTCTCACTTTCCGCGGTACCCTGTGGGTTACATTAACCCCGTAAAGTGAGGGTTGACTGTACATCAAGTGCTGGAATTTTCTTTAGCCCTTTTGGTACAAAATATTTCCCTTTGCTGAATAAAATCTTCTGGCATTAGGCAAAAAACGTTAAAGTTAACTTCCAGTAGTGAGGGGGTTAAAGGAACATCTGATAATACAGTATTTTATAAGTCACCTGGAGGAGTTACTTTGTAAGTTGTCAGATATTTGTTTTTGCTTTCTGGATCATGCTGATATAATATTTGGTATTGTCCACAGCACTCCAGAGTTAGCCTCACCCTCTGCTGGTGAGCTGTTAGATGGTGGGTCAAGGTGCAGTGACGGAGGGAGAGAAGCAGGTCGGGACCATGAACATGAGCTGCTACATGTGTACAAGCCACCACCTCCATACCCCTACAATAAGCCCTCCAGTAACAGCACTCCTGACCTGGCTACAATCAACCAGGTACAGTGTATCCTCACCAGTGTTTATAGCCTAAGTGCTGTTTTCCTTCCTTTTTTTTCAGTTTTAGTCTTTCATACAGTCAAGTGAAGTTTGTGTCACTTTAAATACTAAATAGGGTTTCTTTTCAGGGTGGGAATCTAAGTCCAGATCTAGCATCTAGACGTCGAGCACTCTTAACAGCTTCCTTGGGGTGTCTTGGTTCGCCTGACCTCTCACGCACCTACGAAAATTTAGCTGATCTGAGTGAAGCGGTTGAGAGTCTACGTAATGAATTAACAAGGACGACAGAAACGGGCAACACATTCTTTCAATCTCTTCACTCATTCAATCATAATTACTCCTGCAATGACCTTGATGCAATATACCAACTAAGTGATGGACGAGTAGCCATGGGAACAAACCTCAACCTTAACCCAATGTTTGCAGGTGACCAGTCTTCCCAGCAATCTCAACAGAAAAAACAGGGTACTGCCCCTCAGTATTCTGCTCCTCCACGTTATAGTTCACAGTTTGCTGCACAATACACAGACCCTCAGTACCCTAGTGGAGCAGTACAAAGTTCTCAAGAACCTATTTACCAAAATATTGCTGCTTTGAGAACTGATGAACCCCGTGAGCGCACCCGTTCAGCTCCGGAGATTGAAAATAATCCCATGAATGTGGTTGGACCTACACAGGGAAGCCATTTATTAGGTCAGATGGGAGGAGAAGAAGTGCAGGGAGGAAGGAGCAGGGCTCTTTCACAACCTGTTAGACAGTCAGCAATTGATCCCCAAATTTATATCGAAAACCGTTTAGGAGAACAACAGCGAGGTCCTATTGAGGCAATTAATACAGCCATGGGTCAGATACCTGTGTTCAGTGCCCAACAAGAATTACGCCATAACCATCACCACCACTTACAAATACAGCAACAAATACAAGCTCTCTCCCTTCAGCAGCAGCAGCAAAAGCAGCAGCACCAGCAGCTTCAGCAACAATTACAGTTGCAGCAGCAACAGATACAACAGAAAAAGGAACAACAGCAACAGCAACTTCAGCAGCAGCTACAAGCTCAGCAACAGCAACAGAGCTCTCAGATCCTTAGTCAAGGTAGCCACCATCATTTGCAGCAACAACAGTTGCAGCATCAGATGAATCAGCAGAGACAACAACAGGCACAAGAACAACAACGTCAACAACAAATTCAAGAACATAATAGACAACAAGACCATCAAAAACAGCAGCAACACCAAAAGCAAATGCAGCAACAGATACAACAGCAACAGGCATCCCAAAAGATGGTGCAACAACAACAGTTAAGACAACAGCCTCAGTCAGTGGGAGTAACACAGCAGATAAAGCAGCAATCTGCATATCAACGAGAAGCAGGTGGAGAGTCCAGTGGCCTTAAACTCTCTCCGCGAAAAAAATGGGGAGCACCATCTGCTGGTCCCATGATGTTGGCAGGGCAGTCTGAACCTATTCTTGCCTCTAATGTGTCTACTCTGGACAGTCACACAACACATGACACTGGTCAGACAAGGACACGAGAAGCTACTGCCGACGCCATGGCAGTGCATGACACAGGGCAGACAAAAATGCGAGATACCCCTGCAGATTCCCCCTCAGCACATGATATTGGTCAAACAAGGGTAAAGGAAACTGCTGTGGACTCCCATACTGCACGTGATATTGGACAAACATCCACTCGTGATGCTGTGGGGACCAGTGAACTGATGAGGACTATTGACAAACCTCATCAAGGAGCTGGAGCAACAAAAGGTGTAACCCCAGATGTGCTTAGAGGAGCAACGCTTTCCAAAGGGGGACCAAAAGATCCAAGGGTGAGTATTGTATACCAGGTATTTTATTTTTGTGATATTAGTCCTGACAGTTTTAATATCCTTGGCAGTATAACACCAATAAATGATGTTTCCTTAACATAATTCACATTATATCCAGGGGCAGATCCAGGAATATAAAAAGGAGAGGGGGGGTCCAAAAAGTTGTGGGTGAGAGACCATGGCAAGCCCACCTAGATGGGTATTTATTTTTTTTGGGGGGGTGGGGGGACTATTAGCCCCCCACCCCAAGATTTTTTTTTTTTATCTGGCCAATATCATGGGCATTTTGAGGCCAGGTGCACGTTTATGTTAGGAGATATTTTGAGGTCAATAATAATTCATTTTTACTTCACAAAAATGCCTGAGTGCAATTCTGCACAATACTTATTATTTTGTTTGTAATTAAAGAAAACCACCATGCTGATGTAACTTCCAGCTTTCTTTACTAAAGTTATCATTTGTTTAACTTGGTGTATACATGTTGATACATATCCATGATGAAGTTTTCTGATTTCAGTCAGTTCAGCTTGAGACCAAATTAGTGAGTGGTGATATCCTCCAGGAGTTTGAGCTTATCCCAAGAATAAAATCAAATGCCGATTTCACCACAGCCACCAAACCAGACAACATCCCACGTAATCGGTATAAGGACATTGTTCCCTATGAAGAGAACAGAGTCAAGATCACCCCTACCAAGGACAACAAAAGTGGATACATTAATGCCTCACATATCACTGTAAGTTAGCATTAATACAGTACATTAGAATCCCAGTTATCCGGGCAACCAGTAGATTCAACTAACCAGCACCAAAATGAAACGGTAAACAAAATAAAAATTCCTCCCAAATCAACTAGACTCTTTAAGTTTGAATGATGTGCACAACGGGGATGAGCTGCCATATTTATTGCTATAATAAACAATAAAATTTATATACAGGTATAGCATATCAAAATCTGCAAATATTTTATGTACAAAAAATTGCTCGTACACTCAAACCATCCTCTGGGTAAAGCAACCCAGTTCAGGTAGTCAACCAGCTAACTCAAAGATGTGTGGTTGATGTGTTATATGTGTGTAGTATGCCATGACATTACATCGGGAGGAAGCACAGCCACACAGTTAACACACATTTACTTCCCATATATGAGGCGCCGAGTGTGACAAGGGGCTAAGTGCCAAAAATCCCAATCGAGAAAAATGCTCTTAAAGTTTGGAAAAATTTTGAACCAATGGAGATATAGAGTTCATTTAAATAGTAGTGTGTAGAGCTCTTAAAACTGGTTTTACAGATATTAAAGTCATATAAATTGTAAGATTGTTTATAGTAAAAATTGCATTGTTTTTGATGGGTAGTGCTTGCAGTTTTACTAATATGCATTGTTGAGGTATAATTTTCATCACATGGAAGCAGTAATGTATTAAGACCACACCAGAAAGTCAAAGGTCTTTGTAATGTTTTCATAAAAGCAAACAATATATCAACCGGGGACCAAGCCTTAAAAAGTATAATAAAGAAAATCAGGTACTTCCCTCGCTTAGTGCTAAAAGCCTCCTACTAACACGCACCACCCACACCTCTCTCCCAGCCACCTCTTCCTCCCTCTGTTTCCCCTCTATTGGTACGATAAGACTCGTCACTCGGACAAGAACATAACACGCCACGTGCCACCAGCCCTCACTCCACCCTCCTCTCTGTTTTGTTTATTTTTCACTCAATGGCCCTCACTCCCCCTTTCTGCCAGTTGAAAAAAAAAAGGTTCAAGTGTTATTACATAGCATTCCTATGACATTTTTTTGAAACATGGACTCTCTTTAGGTAATAAACCGGAAAATAATGAGTTGCTATGAACTAGAGAGGTTACAATTGGTGGCCGAGGGCGCTTGTCCTCATCTCCCCTACGGTCTGCTTCGAGGCGCAGATCACATGCTCTAGGGTTGTCTTTACCTACCTTCCCTAATATGGCTCTCAGCCTTACAAATATTGCACTACTGGGATAGTTTGTTTTTATGCAGATAGAGGAAAGGTTAGGGAGTACAGATAATACTACAGTATAACTCTTTTGGGGGGGGGGGGGCGCTTGGCCCTGTGTTGCACTCGGCGCTTCGTATATCCACCAATGCTCTTCATTTTTTTTTTTTTTTTATGTAGTATATTTTTTATACAGTATTTTCTTTATTTCTAAACTACATTAGAGTACAGGTATTATAATGGTTTTTCCACAACTTTTATAGTTTCACTACAAGTAACTATACCAGGTGGCTGGGCTGGCGAGTCGGTAACGTAGTTATAGTCCGCCACCTCCACACATTATACACACCTGTGCTCTTCATTTTTCTTATCTTAGTTTTATTTTATATTTATTTCTAAAATACATATTTATATAGTGGAATAAAGTGTAAAAGAAGTCTGTTTTTCTGAGACACGAATTGGCGAGGTCAACCTATAACCCTGTGCATTGTAGGATTTATTGGAGGATCCTAAGAGTAAGTTTCAACTGGATAACTAGGATTTTACAATATTATAGTAGTGTTGGGTGATTTTTTTTATTTTTTATTTATTTATTTATTGGGCACTCCCCTACATCCTTGTGTAAGGTGAAGCGCAGAAGCGTTTACAGTGCCCAACAGGGAAGCTTGCGTGTTTGGTGATGGTATATAAAAAATTACTGGTATGGTTAACTGATGATGCAATTGGTTAGCATTTCCTTGCAGTCCTCAGGTTTGGCTATATTTATATATTGAGGTAAAGCTTGTGGCAGTTCCTCTTTATTTGTATGTTTTTAGAATCTAAGCCACAATCTAGTGTTCCTTCACTCTGAAAGATGAGCCACATCCTCACATTTCTCAAATGTCTTTCCTTCTGCTGTACTTATAAGACTGAATCTTTTCCAGACAGCCCTATCTCTTGTGTGGCTTGTGTCCTGTAGATACAATATATTGTTTATCATTTGCAGGCAAGTGTGGGAGAGAGTCAACGCTTCTACATCTGCTGCCAAGGTCCACTTGCCAATACTGTCTCACATTTTTGGCAATGTGTATGGGAGGCTGATGTTTATCTGGTGGTTATGTTAACATCTGTAACTGGTGATACTGCCACCAGCAAAAGTTTCCCCTATTGGCCACAAACAGATAACACAAGTGTTGAGTGTGGGCAGGTAGGTGAGCTTACATGATGATTTAACCCATTGACAGTGGGTTAATAAACCATCATGTTTTATTTCTGTTCATTGTAGTCATGTACTGTATATGATTAGTATGTGTATGGTAATGAGTAGAAAACTTAAGTGTTGTGGCAACCCATCACCCACAAAACATTACCATATAATGAATCGGTCAATTTTTTGCCTTCAGACATCTGTAGCTCTCTTGATAGCAAGTAAGCAGGTTGGGTACTGGTATGTTATTACAGAAATCTTAGATGTCTCTTAAGATATGAGGAAGATGGCACAAAGTATTTCCTTCCACCCGGACATTCAAAATATGCCGCAAAAATTCAGAATGTTCAAGAAGGTCACCCGGGGTTTAAGGGTTAATAATGTGGTGAGTGTTGTTTAATAGTTTGGTTCTGATAGTATTTTTTTTCTTTTGTGATACATGTGGGTGTCTGACTGGCCAAGAACCTATCCCATTGAACTCCATGTTATAATGATCCTGAAATGTGATATTTTGACCTGCGATGGGGTTTTCAGTAACCTACCCTCATCGTAAATAGAAGTTCACCTGTATACTGTATAGTAGTCCCTCGTCAACACACACGGGTTAAGTTCCTGAAAAACCCCGTGGTTGGCAAATCTGCTGTTGACAAGAATAAAGGCTTGTGGGGAATAGGAGATTAGGTTCCATGACTGGAAACACTCGTCAAAGTCTAAGTTGTATGTTCCTTCATAAACAACACTACCTTTATTGTACATTTAATTAAATTTGATTTAAATATATATGAAATAGCTTAATAAAAATTTTATAGTACAGGTTGAACCTCCCTAATCCGGTACTCTATTGTCTGGCACCTCCGTCGTCCGGCTCGGCATACCCTTTGTTTTCATCTGGTCCTTGTGGAGTTAAGTGCGTTCCTAGGTATTTCAATTGTTTCTGTAATATTTCACTCGTTATTTACCCTTATTATGCCTCCTAAGCATATTTATTTTATTGTTTCATTTACTGTACAGATATATTTTTCTTCTTTACAGGTGAACATCACCAATTTATGTACAGGTACCGTAACTATTTTGTCAGAATGAAAATTAATGTTTATCGATTTTCGTTTATTACAATTATACACTGTACAATAGAACGTGGATATAACACGAGATATGCTCCTAGAGAGGTTGCTTTAAACCGAATTCGCACTAAATCGAAGTGTTGTTTAAATGGAATAATTTAGTTTGGTGCTTGAGAGAAACACAAAATACTAAAAAGACTGAGAGTCTACCCAGATGCACCTCAGCCTATCTCCTAGAATAAACAAATCATTGTTTTTTGTGGTATTAGGTTAAAACAAACACTAATAATTCAACACAGCTAAAATTAAGGGATGTGAAATGGTCTGTTTACTGGCTGGGGGGGAGGGAGGGAGGTGAGGTGATATGTTTGACAGTTGATGCCAAGGTCTAGTGCTTATTTATTTATCTGCCCTTAAGAGTGACTTTTAAGTTTTGCTTTTATAAAATGTCACTGAACTGACATGGGTGAATATAATTAACATTGCTGGAATTCTTATAAGATAGTGATTAATTTGAGTATAAACATGCTATTGCTCGCATTAGACATAAAAAGAGCAAAACTTTTTATCTCTTGTGCAAAATATATGGCATTTATATTCAAATTATTCACCGTCTTGCAAGGATTCTAGCAATGCAAATTATATTCTCCTAACTTTAGTCTGTGTTATTATATAAGATAAAACTTAAAGACTACTGTGTCACCACCAAACCCTGTCTGGGAGGGAGGTGACAGTGACATGTTTGACAGTTGGCGCTGAAGGTCTAGTGAAGTATTTATTTGTTTATTTATGTCCTTTAGATTTTTTTTTTTTTTTTTTTTTTTTTTTAATAAAATGTCACAGAAGTGACCGGGGAGAATATAATTTACATTGCTGGAATTCTTATAAGATAGTGATTAATTTGAATATAAACATTTAGTACATAATTTTGTGTATATTTACAGTACAGCCTTGCCCTTAGGACAGTGTAGTGTGCTCAGAGAAACATTAGGCGCAAATTTTTAAATGTGATGCTCCAGATTGACGCATCAATAATTCTATGTATTTTACAAAGACCACCTGTGGTTCGGAAAATTCTATAGTCCGGCACCGGTCAGGTCCAAAGGGTGCCGGATTAGGGAGGTTCAACCTGTACATCTAGCTTTCCCCCCTACCAGGCCAAGCTGTGTTATTGTTATTTTTTAACTTGTATTTTTGGGTAGATATACATACACACACAATCATTCATACAGAATGTGCACAAAAAATTAAAGAAATGATTATCATGAGGTAAAAAAAACATGAGAGAATAAACATTTGTGTCCATGGGAGTTAGGCGGCAATCATGGGCGGCGAATGGGTACGGGGGAGCATGCTGCTGTCTCTCATGCCCTTAGTGAAATAATTGCCAAATGACAATGCAGTATTTTTATTATATTTTATTTATTAGTATTATATTTATTTATTCCTCACATCTATGGAGGAATACATTAGACCGCGGAAGGATAAAGACGCCACACTAATCCGCGGATACGTAAAACTAAATGCCGTGGTTGGTTAAATGGCATACAGAATGAAAACTGGATACATGGAATCCGCAATTAGCCAGGGTTTTCTGTGTGAGTGTGTATGTATAAGATATGCAGTATATATTTAGAAGGAAAAAGTCATTCCTTACATGTCATCATTTCTCTTGCAGTACCGAGTGCTTCGTAAGCATAGCACAGTGAGTGGATCCCATGTCACCAGCAGACTACAGGTGGTTTATGTGCCAGCAAGGAAGACACGTACTATTTGGCATCTCCAGTTCACAGATTGGACCGATCATGGTTGTCCTGAAGATACCCTTGGATTTATCAGTATGTATATCAGTAGATAGATATTTATTCTGTAAAATTGTCATGCACGTTTACATTTATTCAGAAAATGTATAGACAATGCAGGTATACAATATTCATAGACAGTGAAGGTATATAATCAACGTACAGTCAGGGTCAAAAATTTGCCCAAAAGGAAGCCACATTGACCTCAATTGGGATGAAATAGTCAAACTGTCAGGGTAAGTCAGTTCAGAGATTCACTCCCTTGACTCAGTTTCACCACGGAGAGTGAACTTTTATACCCGACTGTACCTAGACAGTGTTATCAGACAATGGTACACAGCAAGTTGATTTGAGCAATGATAGCCAACAAATGCTTATTTTTAGTAGGGTCTTTTGCTTAGACTGGGGTACTAATCAATAATGAGAAATCTTCTAATATAAATGTGAAATTTTGTGGTTGAATATAACAGGCTTTACATTGCATTTAGACGATCCAAGAATGGTTGATCACTTCCACCAAACACCAGTAGTAGGTGACTATTGTTGGGGTCAGAAGTTTCCATGCTCGTTGGAACTGTAGAAGGGTGTGTGTTAGTGAGAACCATTTCTTGATTGGTGGATAAATAGTAATGGTATCAGTTCTTGCAGTGGTCTGGGGTTATATAGTAACTACAGTAGGGTCTTGTTTAATGCAATTAAAGCTTAGCAATTTTGAAATTAGTGTAATATAGTACGTACAGTATAAAAAAGGTAACCCAGTACTTGACATCTTCGGTGCTCCCATAGCACTGACTTCAGGAATTTATCCATAGAATAAAGTTTTCTTCATAAAACTGCAATGGTGACCGAGGGATTCTGGAGAGTGACTCTTAAGTAGCTTGTCTAAGACCACTATTTTCTTATCTACAGTTATTCCTTTACCTGGTTTCTTCACTGTACCACCATTAGTTGACTGTTTTGGGGTACAGGTTGTACCTCTCTAGTCCGGCAACCTCGGGACCTGACCGGTGCCGGACCATGGAAATTCACCCTTTTGCTGGATAGATAGTGACTTGTGCTTATGCCTGGAAGCACTAGCACCACTTTCTCTGCGTCATGGTCTCTTTGAAGACATATTGAAGGGTTAAATGCCGTATAGTAGCTTCTCAAATTTCGCGAGTTTTTAATTCTTAACGTATTTTATTGGAACACACAAAAAAATAAATAAATAAAAATTTTGACGGCGGAAACTTGAATTTCGACGGGTTTGAACGGCCCTCCAACGTGCATAATCGTGTAAACAGCGTCATTTCTCTTATGTACAAAAGATTCATTATTGTTTATTACTGAATGTCTTTTTTATTGAATTAATGTTTATGTGTGCAAAATGAGCAATACAATTCATTAATATCGTAGAATATTAAAACACGAAATGACACAGCATTGTTTTCGTTGATTACAAAACCAGTGACTGACTGGTTCTGCACACTATAAAACTGAAAAAATAAGACCTTGGTTGTAGCTGTAGTAAATTAACTGGTTGTTTTAAGTAATGTTATTGTAATGTTAATAAATGGCACAATAGAAGTAGCTAACGATAATGGCAAAAGAAAAGTGAAGAGATCGCATATGTAAGTGCGCTGTCATACACTTGAAAAACATATCGTCATTGCTACATAAATTAAAGCTTAACCTTACTGTTCATATATATTTTAATTAATGTTTCTGAATTGTTTTTATTGAATTAATATGCGTGTGTGCAAAATTAACAATACAATTTATTGGCTTAATACGGGAATATTAGAGAGACGACTGGCTGCCGCATTGTCGTGTTGAAGCTACTTAAACCAGTGACTGATTGGTTCTACATATAAAACTGAAGAAAATAAGACTCTGAGTTTAGCTGTAGTAAAATTAATGTAAAAAATATGAATATGGTTGCTTGAAGTACCTGTAATGATATTTAATGTTAATAAATGGAACAATATAAGTAGCTAACCATTAATGGTAAAAAAAGTGAGACTGCTCGTATGTAAGTGCGCACATGTGAAAATATATCGTCATTACTCTACATAAGAATATGAAAGCAACACTTATTTACTGCTCATATATATTGAAGGGTTAAATGTTGTACTCTGTATAGACAAGCACACACACACAGAGAGAGAGAGAGAGAGAGCAGCCGAACTGCCGGATGTAAACAAACCTTAATTTCCCGCGGCTTTTTTTTTTTTTTTAAGGGGATTAGCCCACCCGGGCATAGGTCACTGACCCACATTGGGGCCTGAGGGGGAAAAATTTAATACTCCTGTAATAATAATAATAATTCAGATAAGTAAAAAAAAAATTAAAATAAAAAAAATAAAACTGCCTATCTACCTATTGGACAAACTAAAATCGTTCCGGACCATGGGAGTTTCCGGACCACAGAATGCCGGACTAGAGAGGTACAACCTGTAGTTGACATGGTTTAAGGGTACACAGCAAAATGTTTAAAAATTCAGAAAAATTACTAAAAGTTAGGCAGTTTCTCACACTCCTTAGTGCAGCAAACAAACTGAGGGGTAGCCAAGGCAGGTGGGTAGCTGAGACAGCTGCTTGAGAAGTGAGCAGCAGCAAGTGCATGGCTGGGCCACTTAATACCTGAATTATCCCACATGTAATTAAATTTAATTAGCAATCTGCAAATAATTATTAACTTATTTAATTGTGTATAATCAAATCTGCATTGGACAAGACTACTGTACTATAATAGGTAAATGTAAACTACTGCATGATCATCGCTAACATTTTTCTTAATTGTAAATCCATAATTTTATTGTTGTCTTGGGTGAAATTATTGGTACAGTACTCTGATCTTTAACTACTTCATAATTTTATCCCCTTGGTTGTTGCCTATGACTTTTCAGCATTCTGATATTACTGTTTTTCTTCTTATCTTCTCAACATCCCTTGGTATGGTGCCTAGTGATATTATGTAGTACAAGTATAGTATACATATGAATTCCTTTTGGTTTTGATATTTTAGAGGACAACATTAGTATTGGGGTTCATTCCACAGGTTTTTTGGAAGAATTATCAACTCTGCGAAGATACACGTATCAGGAAGTTCGGGGTGTTGGCCGCAACCGCAACACTCCAGTTCTGGTTCATTGTTCTGCTGGTGTGGGTCGATCAGGGGTGACCATCTTGTGTGACCTTCTCTTGGAGGCTACAGATCACAATCTTCCTTTGGATCCCCCAAAAGTCCTTCTCCACCTGAGGCAGCAGAGGATGGCTCTTGTCCAGACCATTGCCCAATACAAGTTTGTGTATCAAGTCCTCCTAGCCTACCTCAACCGAGCCAGACTTATATAGCTCCACAAAGACAGTGGGGTCTCGCATCATATAAAGTGAACATGGTACAGTCCTCGTGTCATATTATTATACTATATGCCGCTTGCATTGCAAAGACCCATATGCCAGAGTGTTGTGTAAGCAATATGATGCTTGCTTGCTTAATCAGAGAAATTTTCATAAACAGCTTATCATCATTATTGCTTGTTTTTCCTCTTTCATTTCTGTCTAGGGTATTTGAAGCCCAGTGAATGAAAAATGCATAAACTCAATGGGAAATATAGCCACATCAAACAGTTGGTGTCTCTGTCCGAACTGTATCATAATCCAACCTAAATGAGATAATACAGCGCCAGCTGTTTGAGATCCTGAACTACATATTATAGTAGTGAACAGTCTTGGTTATAATGTCCCTTATCTGAGGATGTTAATACACATTTGTTCTGGATGTATTGTATTAGCCAAAAATTGGAAACCAAATGATTCCTCTCTTCCTGTCAGACCACTCTGACAGCAGCAATTTGTAGACAAGTACTGCTGTCAGAGTGGTCTCACAGGAAGAGAACAATGTGTATTAACATCCTCAGGTAAGGGACATTATAACCAAGACTGTTCACTGGCATAATACATGCCTCCCCCGCATTACAGAATTTCATTCATACAAAATTTTGAAGTAATGACCAAAATTTTGGTTTACGGAAAAAACTAACCCTTACAGAATATTTTTTAATTAATTTTGAGTCGATTCTTTGTGGTAGCCACAAGGCCGCTGCGGTCCTACAACAACAACATTTTCAGTCTGTCTGAATCTCCAGCCAATGTTCAGCTGTGCCTCTCTTTTTCTGGACTGTATTATAGGTATAGTACTGTGCAATCTTATTCAAGATGAGTGGAAAGATGCCATCAAGTGCAAGTGCTAACATTGGTGGTAAGAAACCACTTTGGAAACAAAATTAGATGTGTTAAGGAAGTTTGACCCGGGGGAGAAGCTTCGTTACATTGCCAAAACTTTGGGCCTTGCTACCTCCACTGTTGGAATAATTCGTGATAACAAAGATAAAATTAGGGCTAGTGCTAAAGTTGCTACTCCTTTGTCAGCCCTTACACTGAATTTTCAGCATAGTGATGTTATGATAAAAATGGAACGCTTACTCAGTGTGTGGATTAAGGACCAGACCAAGTGAAATGTGCCCATTAACATCATGGTGATTCAGGAAAAGGCTCAGGGTCTGTTATGCAGAATGCAGATTTAAGCAGGAACAAGGTGCTAGATCTGATGAAAAACCCTTTGATGCCATCAAAAGGTGGTTTGAGAATTTTAAGAAATGCTAAAACCTACACAACGTTAACAGCAGTCAGTGCTGATACTGAGGCTGCTAGTAATTATCCAGCACTAATAAAGGCAGTCATTGAGGCTAGTAGATACACACCATAGGTATACTATGTTGTTGAAACAGGTCTGTTTTGGAAGTGCATTCCTCCCAGGACATTTATTTCAACTGAAGAGAAAACAACTCCTGGGCTTAAGGTTTCCAAAGATCGTGTAACCCTTCCGTTAGGGGGTAATGTTGCAGAAAATTTTAATTAAAGCCCATGCTTGTGTACCACTCAGAAAATCCAAGGACTGCGCTAAATCTAAGTTACCAGTGATATGGTTTTCCAATAGGAAAGCATGGATGACTGGCAGCCTATTCAAAGATTGGTTTACCAACTGTTTCTGTCTTGCAGCAGAAAGGTACAGAAACCCAAAAAATATTGCCAATAAAGTCTTGTTGCTTCTAGATAATGCTCCCAGCCACCCTGTTAACCTTAATGACCTCTCCACTAATATCAGGGTTGAATACCTGCCCAAGAACACAACTTTCTTGCTACAGCCTATGGATCAAGGTGTGATTGCCAGCTTTAAGGTGTACTGTTTACGCAGGACTTTAGACAACTTATAACTGCAATTGACGGTAAGGCTCCACAATCAGTCCTAGATTTCTGGAAAAGTTTTATCATGAATGCTGTATAAAACATTGCCAAGTCATTGGATTAGGTCAAATGTAAAATTATGGAAGAACATCTGGCCAGAATGTGTCCATGATTTCAAAGGTTCCCCAGGTTCAGACCTTGGATCAGGTGCAGCAGGAAATTTAAACTCTAGCAAATGGTGCATGGTTTGAAGAAGTGGATCAGGATGGTGTAGTTGAACTGTTAGTCACACAGAGAGGATCTGTCCATTGTGGATCTTATGTTAATGGAACAGAAGCGAGCTGTTGCTGAGGAACAGGAAGATACCTGTACAGAAGTTTCATCTACATCCTGTGAATTGACATCAAAGGTTTTGTCTAAAGTGCTTAGTCAACTGCAAGATGTGATGCAAATGATTGAGATAGAATGCAACCTCAAGTTTGCAAGAGAATTGGAGATCACCTTGAGGGGCTGAAAAATTGTTCCATCACCGACAGACCACATTGAACAATTCTTTGCCTCAAGACCACAGCCAGCAGCCAAAGTTGATGATGGTGATCCACAGGGAGAAGCAGGAGTCAGCAGTGACCCACTCTCTCCCTCTCAGTAATTCCAATTGCACCACCTCACCTCACCTAGTTCAGCACTCCACATCATTTCTGGTATGTAAAAATCAAGTATTTTGTTCATATATTATCATGTTACTTCATGAATGACTCATTGTATGTGGTTAAAACCCAGTGGATGCCTGTATGTAATTTAGGATCTCAAAATAACTGGCGCTGTATTATCTCATTTAGGTTCAATAATGATCCCAGTATGGAAACAGACATTGAATGTTTGAGGTGACTGTACTTAAAGAATATGTTGGTTATTCCATGAAGCTGTATGTTATTGTCCTGATTAAGATTTAATAATTGAAATGTGGCAGCTGAACTACGTTGGCCCTATTCGGTCACAAAAGGATGGGATGACTATTGCATAGGGCAGTGATTTCCCCACAAGAAATGCAAGACTTATTTGTTCTATGTTCCATGTGGGGGTTTTCCAGTCAGCTAGATGTTATGATGGAATATGGTAAGTGCAGTACAGTGTATATTAAAAAGAAAATCTAGAAATTATGCCAAATACTGTAGTTGTATAATTGATATTTTTATTACGGTTATTGATTTATCAATAAATGTAGTAATATTTTTTGAGACAATTTTATTGTAAAAGTCGAGTACAAATAGCACATGATAATATTGGTGGAAAATGGTTTAACCTAACATGACATCTTGCACTCCTTCTGGATGGTCTTCTCTCCTCCAATTCCCAACAGCATCTGGATGTACCTAAATCAGTTATAATTATTGCCAAAGTATATTTTGGTAAAATAAAAGAGGAGATTGTTATGATATTAAAAGTGATCCTGAATTTCATTGTTTCCCACTGCAGCACTTCATGTCTGTGGACATTTATCATTAATGATAACTTGGCATTTAATAACTCAGAATTTTATATAACTCGGCATGGATAGGGTCTTGGAATTTATTAGTATAACTCGGGAAATGCCAAGATATATAAAATTATCTGGGAAAATCTTGACATATCTAGCCACCTGCATCACCTACCATGCTTGTGTCACCTACTATAATGCTTCATTCATTGCCTGCAGTGCTGGTAAGTGTTAGTTTTTACGTTAATAATTACATGTATAGTACACATAAATGGGTCTTTCTTTTTTTCTTTCTTTTTTTGTAGGAGGGGGAAGTGCCTCTGTAAGTCAGAATTTGGGATAACTCGGCAAGACCAGAGCCCCATATGTGCTGAGTTATTGAGGGTTTACTGTATATATATATATATTGTCCTAACAATTCGCAGATTTTTAATTCACAGCCTTCGATTATTCGCGGATGACCCCCTGGATGTACCCAAGAATGTCTGGGGGTAGTTTTAAAGTTGGCTACATTTTTGTGGCTCAGACAGGGAGCCCGCAAATTTTATGGCTTCCCGCAAGGTGTCTCTCTTGTCCCAGGTGGCTGAACCATATGTGTTCACTCCAAGCTCAGTGACAGTCCGTGTTAAACACTTGGCCGTTTCACATGTGTGTTACTCTGCTCTCTAACAACTGTGCTCCTTGTGCTTGTGATGGCTCTCATACATCCTCAACCACCTTCATCCTGCTGCAGGAAGGTGCCCAAACAAGTGAAGAGAGAAAAAGAGGTCATGTATTTCGCTCATACATGCGCCTGGTAACAGGAGTGAGTGACTGCTAGTTAGCACTTCGTTTGCAGTTGTAACTCCTCAATCCCTGCCATATTTCACTGGATTTACTGTTATTATAAGTGTTTACTGATAGAATAGTGTTTAATAGTGATTAATCATGTTATTGTAGCTAGGTTAGCTCATCATTGTAACCAACAGGTTACAGGGCCAAGCTTTGAGGCATTATGGTTTTCTCAACTCATATTTTCGGGTAGATACTATACATAACTTTCATTTATTTTTACTCATTTACATGCACACACCTTCCAAAATACATAGTGAAAAAAAGTAAAGGAAATTATTGTCCTAAGGGCAAACACGTAATGGGAGAAGAGCATAAAGTGTAGCTGATGGGGAGCGTTGCTAGGGAATCAATGTTCCAGCTGATCTTCGTTACTATGGTGGAGCAGGTAGTGTATGCAAAATGGCAAATGTGTTAAACTTTCATTTGGCTTTTATTACTGGCTTGGCAATAGTAATGTTTTTTTTTTTTTTTTACTTATTTATTGGTGTTAAATTTATTTATTCCTCACATTTCCTGGTACTGTATATTTTATTTTAAGAAAACTATGGCTGTGAGGTGTTATGGTTGTTTTTCAACTTGTATTTTCGGGTAGATATACGCAACTTTCTTCATTTATTTCTACTTGGTTACATGCACACACCATCCTACATACATACTGTGAAAAAAAATTACAGTACACCCAACAAATAGTATGCGAATTTTTATTCAGATCATTTCGTCAATCAGGTTCAACTCTGGCTGAAGCTGAAGCTTTCCATAAAGATATCATAGCTGTTGCTGAAACTGTTACTGAACCTTAAGTTGTTGCTGAAGCTGCTTATGATGCTAAATTTGATGGTGTAGCTGAAGTTGGTGGTTTAGGCCTTTGAATAATAAGGCTGTCGAAATAACTTTGCATAGCAGCTTTCTTTAATCATTATACATCTTTATGTAGAGGTCATACATGTTTTTCACATCCCTGTTAATTTTATTGCTTCGTTCTGTTAATGGATCCACTTCAGAAAATAATATGTTCATTGCTTGCTCCATATAATATACACAGACCTCTCACCTTTTTCATCTCTTTTTAACACATCTAGTTTCTCGGCTAAGCTTATACACTTTCTTTTAGCTTTAGAACCAGCACTACCATCATTTGCTGTCTTGCTCATGTTGAATAGGGACTCAAAAATGCCAAAAGAAACTTAAAAGTTTTTCTCCTTTTCCTGTACAGATGCATGAAAACAAAGGGACCGCCAAGCTCCGACTCGTTTACTGGTGATGCGCATTACCACTCATTAGCCCAGCAGCTTCTTTGCACAAGGCGCTTTTTCTTTTCTTTTTTATACATTACACTTTTTTAATTTTTTTTTATGATACATATTGGGATTTAGTTATTTATATGAAAATGTTATTTTATTTTATTTTTATTATATTTTCGTCGTAAATACGAGTAAAATAATGACGTAAATTTAATTGGGTCGTAAATTAACTAGGGTCTTAAATATGAATTGTTTTTGGTCAAACCATCATTATCGGAGACTTTACTGTAGTAATAGTAGTGTGTGTGGCTACACACACACACACACACACATATGTACAGGTAAAAGAAATAATTGTCCCAAGGGCAAACACAAAGGGAATATACATTTCTTTGCACACGAGAAAAAATGTAACTCCCGACCCGGTCAGCAAATGTTATTCACGGTTTTGGCAATTCACAGCCATTTTGAGACCCCAAACCCCCGCGAATTTTAAGGGTATGCTCTGTGTGTGTGCACATGTGTGTAGATACCTCCTGATGACTTGTGATCACTTCATGTTTACTGCCTCAAGAGTGCCAGCATCGAGGTTTTTGCAGATGCCTGTATACTCTTTGGCAGACAGTTTCACTGTAGACCACAGATGGTAGTAATTCAAGATCTGGTGGGTCTAAACTGTTCCATCACCATGTCATGTAGAAAGTTTAGCCTCCTCTTTTTGGGATGATTGGACGTGATGGTCCACAGTGACCATAAATCTCATCCTTTTTAACAGTGGGAGCCAAGTTAGTGAGGCAGACTTGTGTGTAGCGTTGTTTTACAGCCACGATGTCCTACATTAAAGGTAAGTACTTTAATATTACACGTACATGCATAAGTTATGTCTCTTTGATTGGCTTTTTGTCACAATTAAGCTATGCAAGAAGGCCAATCTTTCCTGTTGAATATATGGATGCTTGCATGGGTACAGTAACAAATAACTATAGTATCTTTAATGCCATCAAAAATAAACATGTTGCCAAAAGAAACTTCATCATTAGTACTGTACCTTGTAAATTTTGTAATTGTTTAAAAGATATATGAAAGTGGTGTTGGAAACGATGTTTAAGTAAGCACAATGAATGACAGGACATGGGATATTGTAATTCATGCCACGAAAAATTACATTAATTAAAATGGTTTTACAGCTCCTCCCTGACTTACGACCTACTAAACTTGCGTCCACCCGCACTTACGACCTGCCTCAGTCATACCAAAATTTAGTCAAATTATATATTTTCGAGTCCCAAAGTCAGTACACAGACAAAATTTTCATCTGTAATTCACTTTAAAATGGCTGGCAAGCTTAAAAGTGAGTGTTTTGTGGTGCTGAGAAGAAAAAGAGACACCCATTTTAGATTTTCTATGTATTATTTAAGCATTTCCGACTTACGACCTGGATGTCGGTGCCTAACCCCGTCGTAAGTCAGGGAGCAGCTGTAGTCCACTGAAGGCTCAACACTTTACCCTCAGATATAAAGAAATAATTTATATAATTTATTTATTTCATTTTATACATACAGGTAGTCCCCAACTTACGACTGACTCAACTTCATCAATCCGCACTTACGACCTGCTTTGACCATATGACCGTCCGCACATACGACCACCGCAGTCGTGACCAAAATTTTTTTTTCATGACACGCGCATTTTCTATACCGAAACGTTTTCGTCCCAGGCGAAAGCATGGCTTGGGTCACCGCGTGGTTACACTCAGTACAGCGCTTAGTTGGTGTTTGGCTATCGTATCCTATACCGATCGCGCTGTGTACTTACGTTATTATTGTATTTAATTGACTTTATAATGACTGGAAAGCGTACAAGTGAGAGTGCTGGTGGTGCTCAGAAGAAAAGGAGACAGGCAATTACTTTTGAGATGAAAATGAAGTTGTTAATGCAATATGAGAATGGAAAAACTGTAGCAACAATCTCAGGCGACCTAGGTTTCTCGCAATCGACCATATCCACTATTCTGAAGGACAAGGAATGTATTCGTGATGTAGTGAAAGGAACAACACCTATACAGTAAAGGGAATTATAATTTCGAAGAAAAGACAAGGTCCTATTCACAATATGGAAAAATTATTGGTGATGTGGATAGAAGACCAAATACAGAAGCGTGTACCCTTAAGCCTTCTAACCTTACAGGCTAAAGCAAGAAGCCTGTTCCAAAGCCTGAAGGAGCAGGCAGGAGATGAATGTGAGCAAACCTTTACAGCAAGTCATGGGTGGTTTAATAGATTTAAAAAATGCTGCAGTTTACATAATGTTAAGGTGAGTGGAGAGGCAGCTAGTGCTGATGTTGGTGCTGCCGAAGCTTTTAAGGAGGAGTTAGATGATGTGATTGTGGAAGGAAATTATTTGCCTGAGCAAATATTCAATGTGGATGAGACTGGATTATTGTGGAAGCGCATGCCTGAGCGGATATACATCCACAAAGAGGCAAAAACAATGCCAGGATTCAAGGACAGAATTACACTTGGGGGTGAATGTTGCTGGTTTCAAGCTAAAGCCCTTCATGATCTATCATTCAGAGAACCCCAGGGCTTTTAAACATGTCAGCAAGCACACACTGCCAGTGTTTTATCGCAGTAACAAGAAAGCCTGGATGACCATTGTACTGTTTGAGGATTGGTTCATGAATTGTTTCATTCCTCGAGCCAAGGAGTATTGTCTGCAACAACGGATTCCATTCAAGATTTTGCTGATTTTGGATAATGCTCCGGGACACCCACCACACCTGGACGACATGCACCCTGATGTTAAGGTAGTGTACATTCCACCTAACACTACCTCTGTCATCCAACCCATGGATCAAGGTGCTATTGCTGCCTTTAAAGCGTATTATTTACGTACGACCTTCACTCAGGTTGTTGCTGCTACTGAAGGTGAGAAAATGCTTAAGAGAGTTTTGGAAGGAGTACAACATTTTGTCATGTATAAAGAACATTAGTGCAGCACGGGATCAGGCTACAAAACATTGCATGAATGGAATATAGAAGAAAGTCCTGAGAAGATATGTGAACAATTTTAGAGGCTTTAATGAAAATGAAGTTATTTCGGATATTAGTAACAAGATAGTGGAGTTAGGTAAACAGCTTCAGTTAGAAATTGATAATGAAGATGTTGAACAGTTGGTTGAAAGTGTAGCAGAAGATCTCATTGAACTGGAAGCACACAAAGAGGAAGAAGCCAGTCTAAATGTAGAAGAAGGACCTGCACCCCCCAAAAAGTTTTCAGTGAAGCAAATGGCAGAGGCATTTGCTACAATTAATAAAGGAATGCAAATGTTTGATGGCATGGATCAAAATTATGAGCTTTTTGCCAAAGTTGACAGAATGATCCAAGATGCACTTGGTTGCTACAGAGAAATTTATAATGAAAAGAAAACGCAAACTGTGCAGTCTAAATTGGACATCTATTTTAAGAAGTCCCCCCAGTGCCGTCTTCTCACGCCCCACCAGTGCTGCCTCTTCACTCCCTCAAGATGATCCAATACCTTCAACCAGCAAGTTTCCACAGTACATAAACCTGTCTGAAGAAAGCGACATTGATGACCCACCCAGCCCTGTCTCCTCCTTTGCTTCGTCCAATTAATATGGTCTTCATGTATACCTGTGAATAGAAAATTATGGGGGCCCCGTGTGCATTCAGCTGACTACATTAAAGGTAAGTGTTCAGTCACACTATCCATTCCTCATTATTTATTACTTTTACTGTACTGTATTTCATTGCAGTTTTTTTTTTTTTAATCTATGTCGGACTTACGACCTGGATTTGGGTCCCTAACCCCGTCATAAGTCGGGGAGCACCCGTAGTCTTAGTGGTTAAGCAGCAGCAATACGAGATATGTCAAGGGTATGGATATATTAAAATTTATTTCACGAATACAGTATATATTGGTCACATTAAATATTTACAAAAATATTTACATAATTACAACAATTCTGTTACAACAAGGAATGCAAATTGAACGGTCATGTTAAACAACTGGTAGCTGTACAGTATCCAGAAAAAAAAGTATCTGCCAGGATGGGTCCGATGACTTCCGAAATGCTACAGGCAACTCGTGATATCCTGGGCAGGTTAGTATGCATGGCTCTGGCATACTGATACTATTACATTTGGTAACCAAACTTCATATTAATTATGCCGATATAAATACACATTCCATTAGTCATGTTATGCTATACAGTATACCAAAGTAAATGCATGTCCCAACATAGAGTGGACAGATACTTTCTGGGGATACTGTACATAAATCTTTGAAACGTCCTGATCAACATCATTTTCCATGATTGTATGGGTTAGCTGCACATGAATACAGAATAAGCATCACTAAGTAGTTTGTTGCTACTGATTTAACAAGATTTTAGGTTGTATACACCTAGAAATTTATACCCTTCATCAGACAATCACGAGTGTTGTTATCTATATGATACAATGATTCAGATTGACATTTTGTCAAACTGACAACTTTTAAAATTACAGTATCATTACACCCGAAGAACAAACATTGGTCTGGTTAACAGTTCTTTACAGAGCTTGTCGTTCACAATAATGTGGCAGTTGGATGTTAAACCTTTTGCCGGCAGCTCATGCTGTCCAAATCTTGCCTGTAGACAGGCTGATGCAAATTGCATCCTCCAAATTGTATAGGCTTTTCTATTTTTTTAATTTATGGGTAAAATTTTGTGACTTCTTTTTTTATTTTGTTATAAACTGAGTAAGTGATAAAAGAACAAAATAGCTGTATAAATGATTTGGGATGGTTGAAAATGGATGTGGAAAGATATCTTAGGTGTCAGTTTCAGCAATCAGGTTCATGAGATACCTCTCACTTCCAATGGTCTACATAGTGATGCAAATAGTGCCATCAGCTAGGGAAAGGGTTGAAGCTGGCTTCAGATAAACAATAGTGATGTTATACCAAGAAGGGGTAAAAAGTAATTAGTAGTTTTCCACTTGATGGAAATCTATAACACAAACACAATTTTCCCATTATATAATTGAAGATGCATTCTTAAGGTACTTTGCGTATTGACTTTAAAAAATAATCAAGGTATTCGACTATTTATTCAATAAGATAAATGTTTATTAACTCTACTTCTTGCAGCCTTGTAACATAAAAGAAGCTACTTGGTCATAAACAAATCAAGGTTATAATAAAATGGTATTCATGTTTTTTTCATTTAAAGTATGCATTCAATACTTTATTTCCTTATTTGAGTCAACCCAACTCTTCAAATGAGTTTGTGGGAGTTTGTTGAAGCAAAACTTCAGTCTACTTAGTTGGCCTAAGGTAACAGAAGGATGACCAAAATTTAACCAAACCCAGAGAGAGAAAAGGTCTGGTTTTTGGAGATCCAGATTTGAGGGTCTTTATGTATTCTAATAATCTTCACTCTGCCATTATTAAAAAAAAACTGGCTTACCACTGTGTGTAATAAACAAACTAACAAAATTCTTAAAAACGTAAAGGCCTATTCGTGCAGAGTAAAAAATGAAAATACTGTATTAATAACTTATTTACATTTGTTTTGCCCCAGTGAAGTGATTGAGCATGTTGGGCCGAGGTGTTAGGAGTGGAGCGGCATGGCTAGCTTGCCGTAAACTAAATAAAATGTGCATCTTCCATGATGACAAAGGCAACCGAGAACCCTATTGACGTGTGGATAGAGTTAAGTCTATCGAGACATGAATGCTAGAATTGGCTCACAATTTAATAAAACTGAAGGGCATCAGAGCCATATGAAGGATGTTTTACAGTCATACTAGTGATATTTTAAAGGTTAAATACATGCACCAAAAGGTTTACAATATTTTCATTTGTAAGGGAGTTTTCATTATTTTGGGGGACAAGATTTCTACTTAGGAATGCATCTCCAATTTCATAATGGATGTTAACAGAAAACTGGGTTCACATTGTGGAACTTTTTTTTTTTAAAGTATTCCTTCCAAAATGTGGGGATTATTACACTAATATAATTTTTATTTTATTTTTAATCTGTGGTTTACGCTTAACCCTGTTAATTCAGACTTTCCTAATTTGGATAATCTGGACTCTGTCTGTTCAATTCTTAAAACATTTGAGCTTATAAAAATGAAAGTTTAAGAATGCACCCGAGTTGAGTCGGACTAAACCAAAATATAGCATTAAAATTATACCGAAACTTATTCGATACATTCATTTAGCATAAAAGATAGTCAGAATTCAGCCTAAAGAAAAGCGTCATGAAATTCAGCCATTGAATAGCTGCCACTACACTCAATACACCCCAACCTTGGAAGATGTAAACAAAATTACATATGTTTTTAGTATACAGTCTTGTCATTCCATTTGTTTCATGGTTAATGGAACTTAGATGCAGTAAGGTACAGTACTGTATATTTGTAAAATGGCTGTAAATATGATAAACATGTATATTAATTCCTTTAAACTTCGTAACCTGAGAAACACCCCCTTGATCTAACATAAAATTGAATCTTCCTAATTGAGTTACAATAATTGGTCTGAATATCAAGGGTTTATGTTGAGTCACTGTACTGCTCAACCTTGAGTTTTACTTAGAGCATTTGATTGTCAATGGCACAAGTTTCCTCTCCTTTAATTAAACTTTTCTTCTGTAACATTCTCAAACCTAAATGGTTATTACAGAGCATTATACATACAATAAAATACAATTGCTTATATCATGGACCACATTAAAAATTTTGAGGTATAAACAAGTTTGAGCTTGTATGTGCAAGAGGCCTGGATATATTAGACATCTTTTCATATGTGAACTTCTTAATTGTACAATACAAATATCATACGATAAAAGAAGGTTGCATAGTTAAAACTTCCATTTTTAGTGTTAAACCTGAAACTTGCCTCAACCTTTACTTTAGGTGAATCTTAAGTCAACAGTTTAATGTTCAAATGTTAAAAACGGTATTTACAACTAAGCTGCTTTGTCCAGTTAGGAAGTTTATAACTACAAGAAAAGGTCTGTCAAATATTACCTCACACTGTCCAAGCTCCATCTAAGATTTTCCAAAATATATGAATAAAAATTTCATAATTAGAATGCTTTGCAGTATAAGAGATCTGTTTACATACTAAATAAATCTATACAAACACAAATAGGTGTATGCCTTTTTATATGGTAATTATTCTATATATGTGAGCTGTACATACATCTCTTATTAACATATTTACACATATACCAGTATTATGCAGACACTATACATGTACACTGTATACAAAAGAATAGATGAAGATAATAACAAAGATTGTACCCAATACCTTACAAACTCTAGGTTCATAGGCTATTTGAGGCGCTTGAACATATACTTTATCAACTTTAAAATATGAAGAAAATCATAATGAGATGTTATAGTACAGTGGTCTCCTGCAAATACTGATGGTTTGTCAAGAAAATATAAGCATAAGGAGTTAGGTGCATGTAGCTCAACAGAACTGGAAAATATGATGGGACAACATATGGGGAGGTGGTCTGGTCATTGATCAGCCAACGGTGGAGGAGTTTCTGTGTAGTTGTCTTGGAATGAAGAGATGAAATCATGTAGCAGTGCCCTTATTATGCAATGCTAGTGGTGATGGTTGGGTATAGTTCCACATAGTAGGGGGTTGGGTGAAATTTGATTCAACAGTCATTATTCAACAATGCCATTTGTACTAGAGAACTCACCTAGTGAAGGATTGTCCAAACCTCCATGTGACTGAGGCAATGATGTGATGTTTGTGACTTGAATATCGTATCTTGTAAACTAGATGCTTTGTTAACAGCTGACAAATTAGTTACATCTACTGTACTTGAGAGGTGTCTAATTCTTTATCTGGTTAACATATGCAAGTCATTTAATAGTTAAAAAGTATCCAATTCATTAAATATTTGGTTTGTCAAGTTAACCCATAGACAAAGCTTTCTCAACAATTGCCAAGCTAAACATGTTTAGCTAACAGGTGTCAAATAAGACAGCATGTTAGGCTAACAAGGTCTTAACAAGTAGGCACTCTTGATTTTATGCCGATTATTATTAATCAACTTATTGTTACATTAACCGTTTGCCTATGTAACAGATGTCTGGCTAATTATATGTACAACCATCAGTTTTACCATTAACAGTATGTCCACTTAAAATGCCAATGATGCAATGTAAATAATTTAAAAGTTTGTTATAAACACACGTGCAGTAACATACCCAGTTAACCTATGTCAAATTATATGAACATATGTTGTAAAATACTGTACTTTATTGGAGAGGGTGCAAATTCTTCTTTACTTAATCTCGTTATATTGATATCAGCACGATAACAAAATCAACATTGGTACATAATGCACCCCATATAGTCCACCACTTATTGACCAAATACTGACAGTCCAAAGCTGCCCTTTGACCTTCAGCTGTGACTTTTTCCTCCTGACACATACATAGTTGGTGTTATGCCTTTTCTAGTGATCATATACAATACAGTACTTCACATGGAGTTTCATCAAAATTCCTGTACACTGTAATTACTGTACTTCAATTACAATCTGCACATGGAATAGTTTACATACACTCTGAAAAACAAATAGACTCCCAGACAGATGGAAGGAGTCGAAGGTAACAGGGTATAAAAAGATACGGTTTCTGGAAATTCCCATTCATGGCCGAGTTTGTGACAAGATAAATTCATTTTACCCATATATGGCTGGCATTAATTAACAAGGATAAGGGAAACAAACCTGAATAGTAAGCATAATGGTCTTCACCATGGGCTTGAGTAATTGCTTGAACACATAAATTTTATGAGATGGGTGTTATCCAGTGTGACTACCAAACGTCACAGGTTTCCTCCACGTCCTTCAGTTACCTCCTGTACTAACCCTGGACAGTAAAATTGATAACAAAGAACAGACCAACCACCCAAACAGCTAGTACTGTAAGCTGACAAGCGGTGAAACAATAAATTATAAACATTAGGGATTCACACTAAGACCTGTGGTTAATAATCTAAGATTGAACCTGTACTATTTGCTGAATATAACTGTAAATTGGACAAAGAGCAAAGAGAGCCTTCAATGAGTTTCTATGCCATAAACTCTGTTCTGGAGCTATGACAGACTAAATATTCAAAACACATAACATTGCTGCATCACATCATTTGTGAGAACTTTGACACAACTTTGGCCTCTTACCACATGGGTGATGTTTTGCACTCATTTCTGGGCATCCATGACAATATATTCTTTATACAGGTATTGTCATAACAATGTTCCATTACTATTTAAGTAAGCCTGATGCTATACAAGGACTGTATTACAGAGCATAAAGGGTAGAAATAACCCCCAAAAAAAATAAGCTGGATGGGCTCAATGTGCTCACCACAACTTCTTGGACCCCCCCATTTTGATATTCCAGGATCCGCTCCTGCATTTGTATATGCGTCAATTACCGTAGTATGAAATTAAGAAGCATTTAATTTGCTCAAATGTGGGATGAAGGTGGCATAGTTTAGACGACCATAGAGATACATATGCCTTTTTGGCAGTGCTATTTTGTCTTTAATATACCATTGTAGCCAGGGTAAAAACAAGCAGTGAATAATTTGACTGCAATGGGGGCAGGTATCTAGCAATAATTTAGTTTAGTTTCAAAGTACAATGTTGTGTGTAAGTCACAAAGCAAAAGTGAACAATATACCATCATGGAATGGAGAACCAATTTTTTACATTCAAATGCTGAGGAAGTCACATTTCAGCAATATGTAAAGATTTTACTGGAGCACTACACTAACTAAACTTATGATCATTAAAGCTAAAGCTATTGTACTCCATTATATTATATACATACTTGTATTTATAAAAAAAACCTAAATAAACGAAAATTGGTTGAGAAAAAAAAATAGTTATAACAACTGTACATACATTAAAGATACTAACTTTAAACTTGAGACAAGTGTATGGTTGTTGGACCCTGCAACCTGACAGGGAACTGTGGCAAATCGGCAGATTGTTGGGATAATGGTTGCTGCATTCTACTTCCTTGAAGATTCTGGTGCTGACCATCTGTTTTCTTAATAATGTTCACTATCTGGTTTGGAGGATGGTAAATGTGACCATCCTTCTTTCTCAAGGCTTGGTGATGACCACACACACCTTTGAAGAACTTCTGCCACAGCAGTACCTAATGAAATAACAATCGTTTTCATCTTTTTTTTTAACTCTTTCAAACCTTTTCCCTCATGTAGGATACTAGAAACAAAAGTACACACACACACACACACACTGTAATTCACTCATTCTCACTGCTTTACAATATGCATTTTTTCTATGGTACTCCCAATCCGCAAGCAAGCCAGTAAATCCTTCCCCAAAATTCACTCGACATTTTCTTCAATCACTTACGCATACTACAGTTACCTGGATGTCCATCCTCCTCACTTTTATTGTATCTCTAACCCCATCCTTCCACTCTCTCTCCTATCAGTGAAGGAATTTTAAATGAGTAGTGAAGCACAAGCGAGTGTGATTATTGTATGTGCATGGGGTAGTGAGGGAAATAAAGATAGTGTGCTTAAAGGAATTGAAAAATATTGGTGAATTAGAGACAGGGTGTGCAATTAAAGGAATCTTAAGATAAATGCTAGGCAGATTAATGCAAGAGTATTCACAAGGAAAGAAGGCGACATATATATATATATATATATATATATATATATATATATATATATATATATATATATATATATATATATATATATATATATATATATATATATATATATATATATATATATATCTATATATATATATATATATATATCAATGATGATGCTTTGGATGATTTACCAGCATAGACACACATCTTACCGTCTTGGAAGACCAGATCCACATTCCTGTTGTGATGCCCACAACCAGCGACATGAAGACTTTAAGCATGAAGATCTCCACAGATGGGATGCTCTGCTCCAGCGTACACTCTGCCATTACAAGTTAACAGAATATTGTGTGAAATGAAAAAAAAAAAGTGATGAGGAGCGTTATACAGTAATATCTCCGTTGGCCGGAATCACTCAAACTAGGAACTCTCCGATAACCGGAATTTAAATTTTCTCAGAAAATTTTTCCCAATGCCAGAATTTTTCGGAAAATTCCATCTTTTGGAAATGATTTTCCAAGGGGGAAAATTCTGAAGTTCCCATACCGGAAAATTCCGGGGATGGGGAATATTTTTCTGGGTTCGAGAGATGATGTAATGGGCAATTTCTGGAACTTCCAAGAACTTTTTACCATTACCTTGAAAATTCCAGGGATGGTGGATTTTTCCGGCTTTGAGAGGTCATCTCATTACCCGGAAATCTCTCATTCCTGGAAGTGTTCTGCACCAATTGTTCTGGCTAACGGAGAAATCACTGTACAGGTAGTTCTGCTATGCTTCGATAATTGTGTTCTTGTAAAATATCGTGTTCTAGAAAATGGGCAATAGAAATACGGGCTTATGGAGAAAATAGGGTTAGGTGCAGATTACCGAATCGAAAAAATTTAGTAGTTAGCCTAACACAAAGGATAGCACAGTCTAAATAAATGTTATTCATATCTAATAATGAAATCATACAGTAAATTTAACACTTTACCTTGAAAAAAATATAGATGTAACTTGATGGGGAGAAGGGTGATTTTGAGGTTGATAACATCGCTTCTTGTGTTATATCCTTTCTTTCGATAATCACGGAATTCTATCATCAGAATGCTTTTTGGAGATATTTTCTTTCCATATTCTGATTAATACCTAATTGAATGGCAAAAATGGCGTTATAGCAAACAAGGTCGCGTTATACAAATATTGTTCGATTCATAATTTAGAGCAAATTGCTATCAAAACCGCGTTATATGAGGCTCCTGTATAGGTCTTAGTACAACTCGCCAGAGCAGCCTGAAAATACTACTTAATTGAGGTTTCTCCTCCCTATTGAAAAGGTAATCAGATAATCCAAAGGTGCCTATAAAATTGTGTGGTTCTATTCTGGATACTGTTTTGCTAATGTCTATCAAATGTGGAAGGGACAAAAGTATAAATGTTCTGTACAAACAAATCAAAATGCGATCTGCATGCACAGTAAGAGCAGTTATAATTTACTTGGAATAATATCATTTGACAAATTAGGAATCGGGGTCACTAAACTGTGGTACAAAATATAATACTATACATAATACAATCAATTCTGCACCTTTCATGGTATGATACACAGGAGTAAACCTAATCCATAAAATGTTCTTAGAGGGAAATTACAGCTTTAATAGGTAGAAAGATAATACTGTATATATATTGGTTACACAATGATTGAGTCGAGACATACCGCTTCCGTTCACATACAATGACACATAAGTGGAGACCGACACCATTGCATTATGTAGGATTCAGGAGACTAGGTTGACCCTTCCGCATATAGTGACAAGTGAAGGTGAATCGACTGAATTTGAGGGAGGATTTGAATGATAGGGATGCTAGCAAGGCTTCAACAACCCATGCATCCACCTACACAACCACCACATAGGATTGGAGTGATCTTTCCTTCTGGAATCATGATTTTGTTTATAGGATAAAGAGATTGAAATGTTTTAGCAATTATTTTTAAATCGCAATATTCACCCGGCCAACAGTTATGACCATGATTATGCATTCACCATTCTTAAAAGGTTAAATCTAGAATTAGCTTTGTCATTATATTGCATGCCTGTTAATCATCTAATCACTTCCATTCCCATTTTAATAATCAAAGAACTAAAAAGAGTACTGCTGTAAGGCAACACTCACCTGAATTATATTATACCTCGGTGATACTGTCTATGTGCTATCTCGCTTCTATGTAGTCCTGCACTACACTGCAAAGTTGCCACAGATGCCATCACTCTCCATTGTTGGCGGTTAGTACTAAGTAAACATTGCAGGCGATGACACACACAGCAGGAACAGTGTATAGGACAGAAAACACACCAATGCGCACCATCAACTTCCTGTTTATTGATTTAGTTCCATGGTAAGATGTAGTAGCCATGGGTAAATTTGTCCCTGTTGAAAAGGCAATGGTTCAAGTTTTGGGTCTAACTTGCTCTTAGGAGAAGCATGCCCCCTCCCCCCAATGGCAAATGTGGATCCACCCCTGAGAGGGAATACTGTACATGTTGACAATAATTATACCAAGAGACTCTAACAAGATAGTTAAATTAAACACTCAAGTCACTTATGCTTGTGTCAGGGAAGGATACATCACTTCTGATACATAGACTGCACTACACCCCCCATATATATATATATATATATATATATATATATATATATATATATATATATATATCCACACACACACACATACACACATACACATATATATATATATTATATATATATACACATACACACACACACATCACACACACACACACACACACACACACACACACACACACACATATATATAATATATATATTTTATATATATTATATATATATATATATATATATATATTTATATATATATATATATATATATATATATATATATATATATATATATATATATATATATATATATATATATATATATATATATATATATATATATATATATATATATATATATAATAATAATAATTTAGTTACCTCCACTAATCTGTGAATTATCCACCTCTTTCTTGATTGCCCGACGGATCCGAAACAAAGCCACAAATCCAAAGGCAATGAAGAGAGTGCCTATGGCTAAGACCGAAGACAATGGAGCCACCACAAAACTCATATGAGCCCACTGGTGTACATTGCCAACGTAACACAGACCAACAAGCTCATCCCCATCAACCTGAAAATATAATTACTGCTGTTGAAGTTTGTCAATTACAGTATTGATCTAATAACACATTTTTCACCTTGTACCATACCATCATCCACACTTCTCCTCTAATGGTAGCCCCACTACACACATGAGAGGCTTACTACCCAAAGGGAGGAATGAAGGTGTGTCCATGTCCTCCGTCTCTGGGTTCAGTTAAAAAAAAAAAGATGGAACCAATGCTTTAATTATGGCTTACTACCTGGCAGCTCATGTATCTTAAGCTCGTTAGAGAGCGTGGAGGTGGTTCTTGAGTATATATAGTCCTGTTAGTTCACCCAACAGCAGAGCGAGGGTCAATAACCTTCAAAATTAATTGGTGAAGATAATTTGAGAATCTTCCCATATAGCCATAGTTTGAAAATTAACTATTACAGTTAATAAGTTTTCAGGGAGAAGGTAGATATCAAGCAAATCTGAGTACACATTCCATAAAGTCAACATACATGAGGGCTAAAACCTACCTGCTTGAGAGTGAGGATGAGTATTGTGGATATAGCAGGCAGACCCCATGCAGCAGCATGGAAATATGAAGCATAAGCCTGTAGAGCCTCTGGTGACCACTTCTTACCAGCAGATAGGAACCAGGTTAAAGTTAACACCATCCACCAGATCCCTGAGGCCATCCCAAAGTAATACTGAAATAAATATACATTTTAATAAAAGTCAGACAAGAATATAAAACAAAAACTTACCAAGCTTCCTCATTTTTAAAATGATGAAAGTACAGTATTGTACACTAAAATAAAAAACTGGAATATGACACATGGAATATACTACAGTATATCTATCTACATGCAAAAAAGAAATCCACTTTGCATCATCTCACTGGTGCACACAAGTATCATTAAAAGCTAGATTAAGTGAAATCAGCCCTAAGCATGGATTACTGCAATGTCTGCATTTATTGCAATTCCTGTACCGTCCAAGGTAAATATTATAGGGGCTTTTATTTTGAATTTTCAACTTTCTTTCACAGCCTCTGGCTAGCCAGTCACCTTGGCGACACCCAGGATGTAAACCTGGGTATACCACATGGTCACACATTGTATGACATTACAGTAGTGGTTTTTTATAGACCAAGTAATGGAGGTTGTACTTGATAGGGGTAGTAGCCTAGTAGCTACCACAATCAACAAAAAATTCACCTGCCATATGCACCAATGAGGATAGTTATTGTTTGCCCTATATCCTATCATTTTTTGGTATTATAGACAATGACCATTATACAATAGGATTAGGGACCTCAAAAAGCCACGATAAGTGATTAATCTCATATATTAACAACTTATGGGGAAAAATAGGTTCCATTCCTGAGCCCCTGCAGTGCCCAAACAAGTTTTATATCCTGCTGCTATAATGATTAAATAATGTCTAAATATCTCAAATAATTTATAAATATAAAAACATCAATAAATTTATATAAAAAAAAAGTGTTTAATTTAACCTACATGATTATGTGTGTGTGTGGACTTGGCAGGTCATTAAATTAGAGATCACCATAGCTACATCACCTGACCTATCCTATCGGGCCCCCAAAAAAAGATGAACATTTCTTTCTTCTGTGGTAGTTAGTGTCAGAATGTGAGAAAGGAAGGGGGGAGCAGGAGAGGAGTGCGGCATCGGGGTGGTGTGAGGCGGTGGTGGGTGGTGTGAGGCGGTGGTGGGTGGTGTGAGGCGGTGGGTGGTGTGAGGCGGTGGGTGGTGGATATGAAAAACAATAAATAAAAGAAATGATTCTCATATTGTCAAAAATAAAGATAATAACAATTTTTTATGTTTGTGTGTGCCGATTGTGGGAAGGAACAGCGAGGGAGGTGCAGGACTGGGATCTCATCCTCCCTACTGGACCAAGCTGTGAGTACTTTGTTATTTTTCAACTCATATTTTTGGGGTAGATACCTTGATTTTTATTTTTTTAATGTCAATACACAGACAATCGTTCATGCAAAATGTACAGTATATCTGTGCAGGTGGGGGTCGATATGCTCTGAAATTTTCGAGTGACTAGTGACAGCCCTCATATACCAAAATTTATTGTCCATGGTCTCATATTGTTTCCCACGAAGTATGCAGATAGTTGTTTTAGCTACTGTACCCAAAAAAATTCATAAGGTCAAAAACAAGGATTAAATATTTATTGTGCGAGAGCTAGCAAAAGCGAGTGAGGGGAGGAGTTCTCTCACGGCTCTGCTGTCTCGTGCTAGTGATGAGATTGCCAAGTAGCAACTCAGATTTTTTCTTTTCTTTTATTTATTATTATTATTTTTATTTATTCCTCATTTACTGGTAAGTAGAGCATACAGTGGGTATTTATGTACAAAAAATAGCTTCTTCCACAAGCAAACCATCCTCTGGGCAATGTGACACATTCAACTGCTTAGCCTGACTTTTCTTCCACATGGGGGAGGGAGGTTTCAACAACCTTACTAGTTACTGTACTCAAGAGGTTGAAGAATACAGTTTTGTGTAATAATGTCTACTTAAATGCTCTATATACAGCACTGCAATTATTAAAAACTTTTTTTTTACATAATGTGCACCATTTTTTGCTAAGAATGTAGAGCTACTATGCTCACTACAAAGAAGTATTATGTGTAGGCTTGACACCATAGTGAGAACACTGACTAACAATTCACCTGAACTAGACTTGCATCAAGGTTGTGAATAATGTAAGAATCCTCAATATGGTGCCTTGGTGATGCAATAGCCCAGGTGACCTCCGACAGATTTAATTTATTTTTTAATTAACTTTATATCTACCAGTTCAGAGGAGGATTATTCGAAAAAAAAAACTATCTTGATTGACAAGACATCTTAAGAGTACTTTTCAAATGTTAAAATCATTTTTTAAAGCAGTCCCTGAGAAGTACAGTAGTGGTGGATACAGTATACTGTACTTTATAATGGCATATGGGAAATCAAATTACATCATACAAAAATTTATCTTTAATTTAAAATCAGATTTGTAACAACTGAATGCAGAATAAGGAAAAAAAAAGTTAGTGAATGCAGAGCAAGCCTAAAACAAAAATGCGAGTTAAATTTAACCCTGGTACGATGCCCACATACATAGCACAGCTGTACAAAGTATAGCAGGTTGGCTTTTCAATCTACATAGGTTTTTGTTGTTGCAGTTATAAAGCAGTTAGTAGTTACTAAGCAATGAGGAAATGGCAAGTGTTTAAAAGCAGATCATTAAAGACCATCACTTTTAATACAGGTGTACCCCGAAAACCGACGTCCCATTAACTGCAGCTTCTCATAACCGACAATTACATACAGTATAGGGGAAATACCCCTCAAGTTTCAGTGATACCCCAGAGATCTGACGATTGATAGAGGAGCGGCAGAGCTGTTTTGAATTAGGTAAGCAGTGGCGTGGTGTGAATTCTTGCCATGAGATGGCTCTGCGCACTGCCCTGACTCATTCTTGCCATCTTTGCTCATGTTTACACTTACTATGCGTCTCTGACCGTGCTTTTTTTTTATTTTCAACTCAATGTGTTACTCAATCATGCCTAAACACCCCAGTGATAGTTCTTCTTGTGCTGGGCTGCTTGATGTAATAGGCACAATAAGAGTGGTGATGGAGTAGCAAAGATTGGTAGAAACTTGAACTTGCCACCCCAGACCGTCTCTACCATCCTCAACACAGGTATATAAGTCTCAATTTATGCTTTACATTGCTTATTTTAAGGCTTATTATGCTGGCTTCATTTGTCTGCTTTATTTTATTGTTTGACAGTGTGCACAGCAAAGATATATCAAGGGTAGATGGGAGTTTTTGGAATGTGGCAGGTCCCTAACCCCCTGAAATTATGTTCATATGGGATGAATTGCTTCGATAACCATCGATCACTAACCATTGGCTTTTACCGGTACTCCTGTATATGCAAGTGGATGACCTTTCTAGGATCACACCTCTGCTGATAGAGCTTTCTCTTATGTGCTTCCCTCAAGGATGATCTACAGTTGCAAGATTTTCAACCTAAACTCCTGAAAACTGACCTGCAAAATAAAGGTGATGATGCATCCTGATGACTGTAGACCCTCCACAGCCAGGTGTGATACCCCACTCTGTGACACCTCACAAGACAGCACCTCCAGTGGTACTACCAGCCTGGAACAAGAGATAATCTCCTAAGACTGCATACTTGGTTCATTAATTGATTAATGTAAATATATACAGTACAGTATGTCAATCAGTTCATCACCAAATAATTTTTCTTTGCCAATTGAGAGGGGTGAGCCCTAGATAAACCATGTGAACAAATCTGAAACAACTCACCTGGACAAGTAAGCAAGGCAATAAAGGAGATAACACAGTGACAAGCATATAATGGGCCTCTCAGGGTAACGGAACCTGGCAGGTTCAAGCCAGAAGGTCAGAACAGTGAACAGCGTTGACACAAAGCATAGCCCTGCCCATACCAGCATCCACACCTGCAGGAGTTGTGAGTATAGTAGCAGTAAAAACTCAGAAAAGGTGCCAAAAAAAGTTTTGTCATGGGCCAGTTGATGAATACCACCTACATCTGAATTAAAATGGGGTCCCGACTGTCAAAATTCATAACTTTAAGTTCCTTTAACAAATATTTAGGGGCACATGGGATATATTCTTTTAAAGTCACATACTAAAACCTATCAGAACAAAGTGATAACAGTTAATCCTGTATGGCTAATACAGGTTGACAACCCTTTATCCGAAATTCCGAAAACTGAAAAGCTCTGAGAACCGAAAAAAAATTTTGTGGAGCAATTTTTTTTATTTTTTTTTATTATGGGTATTAGCCCACCCGGGCACATGTCACTGACCCACATCAGGGCCTGGGGGTAAAAATGTAATAGTAATAATAATTATAATAATACAGGTACAGTGGTCCCTCGGTTAACGAGCGCCTCGGTTAACGAGATTTCGCTTAACGAGTTACCTTCCATAAGATTCTTAACTTCGGTTAACGAGCAATCCCTCGATTAACGAGTTTCTTACGAGCTGACCTGAACATGTTTTCGCTTGCATTTGGCGGTCCACCAGCTGTAGTATTAGTCCGCCAGTACAGTAATCGGTTCTAGGGTTTAAATTCCTTACCATTTTAGTAAATATCAAGAAGTTTATACTATTCAATAATTTTAAAAGTTTAATATTAAATTTTTTAGTAATTTTAACAATTATTGAACATGCCATCCAGCCTGCCAACACACCATACAGGCGTCAGTCTTTGTGTCTTTTCAGTGGAGGTAACATCTTGCTTGAGACTCTCTTCAACTAAATGCTTTTTTTCTGTGTTTGCAAGCAAATTATTGGTCATTTTGAAATTTATTTTACATATTGACAATATATAATGCAGTGCAGTGTTGATTTAAAGAACATAATCTTGAATTACACCAAGAGAACTAAAATTTTATGGGTGAAATGGCACCATGGGGTGACTTCTCTTCCACCCCAATGCCTTCTCTTCTCCTCCATCCCCATTCTAATTCCCATCATCATCATCATCATCCAGGAGCCTTCTACATACACACCTCAAAGTAAGTGTACTTTTCTACCTTTTTTGTTGAATTTAGGCAATTTTCGGTGAGCTGGAACCAATTACCCCAAAACCCATTGAAACAATGGTTTCGGTTAACGAGTTTTTCGGTTAACGAGTTTTTCGGTTAACGAGCAACCTTCTAGAACGGATTGTGCTCGTTAACCGAGGGACCACTGTAATAATAATAATGATAATACAGTAATAATAATAATTATTCATAGTAAATAAAAATTTTAATAAAAAATACACAAAAATAAAATAAGAATGATAACAATAATAATAATAATAATAAAGAAATACAAGAATGAAAAAAAAGATCAAAAGAGAAACATGACCTAGACCTATGAATTATTATTATTATTATTATTATCATTATTATTATATTTTAGCCCCCAGGCCCCAATGTGAGTCAGTTGTACTGCGCACCTCATTGTCATCCCTAAAAACCCGTTTTAATTCATATTACGCTACATAATATTCAAATCCACCGCGCTTGTAGAATCTCAGGAGCGTGTTTATCCTCGCGATCCCTCCCAGTAAGCCCCGCCTTTGTGAAGACAGTTATCAATACGTTGTTAATTCCACTTTCTCCTGGGAAGCTCAATCTTGAATTAGTCTGTGTAAATCAACCCAAGTAATTCGCCAGACCTTTGTCAACTGAGGGTCATCTTTGAATGAGTAACAGTTAGTTTGTTTGTAATTATTGTCATTGTGTGAGTAGCGATCACTGGCAACTCAGGGGTATATACTCGAGATGGCGAGGAATCAGCGTTCCCTGACGCTGATTCCCGTTTGTCTCCAGGTATGTTCTGTGTTTCCTAGCCATTCAGTTAATTCAGTCAATTGTAGTGATTATCAGTGTTCACCAGTGTTCATGATTTAACAGTTGAATTGTCATTCACCCAGTGTAGAAGTAATATAACGTAAATACGTCTGTCGTCTAGGCAAGAGAGTTTGTTGGTGTTGTCATGCTTCTCGTTCCCTGACGCTGATTCCCGTTTGTCTCCAGATCGAGGGTGGTCTTAATTGAAACCCACCGGTCGCTCGGAGCCGGTGGATACCCAGCAGTGGTCAATATAGGAGTGATGGCGCTGATTCGGCGTGATTAATCGGCTCTACTCTACCTCGTGGGCCGAGGCCCCCAAACCCATCTCGGGTCGGAGTGTAACCGACCACAACAACAGTTGTTAGAGGCGCCAGTGCTATACCCTGGGACAGGCCTTGGAATTATGGTCCACAAAGTGGTTGTATGTGTTTTTTTTACCAGTGTGTTTTATAAGAAATAAATCAATGAAGACATGTTATGGTTTCACCCTTCTTTACCCTTATCGATCTGATCAATGGAAAACCTAACCCAATGCCTAGTCCACTCTGCCCGCTACCTAACGAGCTACATGCTGTCCAGAGGGGGTCTGGTGGCAGCGACCCTTAGGAATTAAGATTAGAGTTAAGTTATCCCCTTAGATTTAGTGACCCCAGATCTGGCAGTATATGGGCACGCTACATGGTCGTCTGAGATGTAATACGACGAACAAATTCTCATATGTCCAGGTGTGTGTGTTAGAGCGTGTCGGAAGGACCCTTTTGTGTGTGTGTGTGTGTGTGTGTCAGAGACTTTCTTCCTTATTACAGCGTGAAGAGAGGGAAGAGAGGGAGGGAGGATAGGAGGATGGAGGGAGGTAGGTATACAGACAATGAAGGAAGGAAAGAAGGGAGGGAGGGAGGGAGGGAGGTAGATATGATGAAGGTATGGAGAAATAAAAAGAAAGGAAGTGATAAAAGATGAGAGAAAGTGAGACAAGGAAAGAGGAGGAGGAGGAAGGGAGGGAAAGGAAATGAAGAAGAGAGAGAGAAAGAGATATAAAAAGAAAGAACAACAATGAAGATTAAGATAAAGAAAGGGAAAGCGAGAGCCAGAGAAAGAAAGAAAGGACTGAAAGAAAAAACAGAGATAGAGAGAGAGAGAAAGAAAGAAAGAAGCAGCAGCGAGATAGAGAGAGGAAGAGGAGAGGGGGTTGAGGGAAAGGGAGTTGGGGGGGTGGGGGGCAAGGGTAGAGGAAACCTGGGAAGGAAACACTGTCTTAGAGAGGTTTCCGGGACGAACACCATCACGGAGGAAATGAAGTTGTTGATGAGGTTAAAAAGGACTTACCTCAAACAATGTAAACCACCAATTTAGGTCCCGGGGGAAGGAAGGGGAAGGGGTGGGAAGGGAGGAGGGAAAGGAAGGAAGGTGGGAAGGGAGGGAGGAAAGGAAGGGAAGGAAGGAGGGGAGGAAAGGAAGGAAGGGAGGTGGTGGTGGTGGGATAACGAAAAATGAAGAAGGAAGGGTAGTGTAGAAGAAGAGGGATAGAGAAGGGTGAGATGGAAGAAGAGGAAGTGGAGGGAGAGGAGGAGGAAGAGGGATAGAGAAGGAGATGGAAGAAGAGGAAGTGGATGGAAGGGATAAGAAGGATGAGATGGAAGAAGAGGAAGGTAGAGGAGGAGGAATAGAGGAGTGGGATAACTTAGAAGAAGAGGAGTAGGGGGGGGCAGGTGGTGAAGAAGAAGGAGGAGGGAATGAAGAAGAAAGAAGTGTAAGAGGAGGAGGAGGAGGGAGAAGGAGAATGAGAAGAGAGAGGAAGAGAAAAAGAGAAATAATTGCACAAACACAATACCTAAGGATGAAAAATATACAAAAAAGACGAAAAATAAAGAAATAAACCGATAATTTACGAAAAGCGAAGAAGGAAAAACGAAAATAATAACAAAAAATATACATAACAGAGAGAACACGAATAAAGAGAAGGAGAGAGAGAGAGAGAGAGAGAAAGGAGAAAATATGATAAAAGGAGGGAGAGAGGGAGAGAGAATAGATCCGTGGGAAAGGAAGAGGAAGCTAAACCAATAAAACAGAGAGAGATGCGGTGAGAATATTAAGGTCAAGTGGATTATGATGGCGAAGGAGGAGGAGGAGGAGGAGGAGGGGGAGGAGGAGGAGGAGAAGGAGGGGTGGAGGAGAGAGGGGTGGAGAAGGAGGTGGAGGGAGAGGGGGAGGAGGAGGGAGGGATGGAGAAGGAGGAAGAAATGAAGGAGGAGGGGGAATGGAGGTAAAGGAAGTGACTGATGTGGAAGATGAAGAGAAAGTGGAGGTGGAAGAAGAACAGGAGAAGAGAAGAGGAGAGGAACTGATAAACTTGGAGATGGAAGATAAAATGTAGTGAGAGGGGAAGATTGTTAACAGTGAAGGAAGGGGAGGGTTAGGTTGGGTTAGGTTAGGTTCGAAGTTGGCACGACAGTGTGTGTGTGTGTGTGTGTCACGTATTCTTAGGTTTGTAGACACTATAAACACATCTTTAAAACTCTAACCTAACCTAACCATACCATACCATCTCTCACTACTCTACTGCCATTTAGAAGGAAACTTTCACCGTGTTGATCTTTGAAAATCCAGAGTCCTTGGCCACGAGCAGAAAAAAAGCTTTCATTTTGGATTTAACTTTTGTCGTTTAGTGGTGAAAGCCTTTCACCACTAAACGACAAAAGTTAAATGTAACATGATAATGTACTGAGCTGCTCAGTACATTATCATGTTACAGTACTATACAGTATTTGGATGTAAAGTGTATACTGTACTGGTAAATATTGTGTTTAACTTATATCAATTAATCCGATATATCTTTTTAGCTTCACTTCCTACACGACTTTGTGAATTCTGACAAGTGCCAGTAGTGTGTGTTGCTGATAACATATTCAAACAACTAACGGGGAAAATATATTATCATGGGAAAATGCAAACAAACTTGCACATTGAATCATTAACAACATTACAGTTTCTCAGCCTTGTCTCTCAAGTATAGTACTGTACAATAGTTTAACAGTAATACTGTAGCATCGACTTTGTTCAAAATTTCAGTATAGGTACTCCTGAACATGCTGATTAAGGATCTGTTGACCAAAATATTATATCTGGATTATTACATGTTCAAATGGCTTTTAGAAAATTGAAATTACGTTTGCAAGTCATTTGATTAAGTAATAAATACGTTTGCAAGTCATTTGAATAAGTAATAATTACGCTTGCAAGTCATTTGAATATGTAATAATTACGTTTGCAAGTCATTTGAATAAGTAATAATGCAGATATCAAATTTTGGTTAACAGATCCTTAATCAGCATGTTCAGGAGTACCTATACTGAGATTTTGAACAAAATCTATTTTTTGGCCGAAAATGACAAAAATTGTAAGTCATTTTCGGCCAAAAAATGGATTTTGTTCAAAATTTCAGTATAGGTAGGCTACTCCTGAACGTGCTGCTTAAGGATCTGTTAACCAAAATTTGATGTCTTGATTATAACTTGTTCAAATGGCTTTTAGAAAATGTTCAAATGATTTTTAGAATATTTTAATTACTTTTGCAATGCTAATTACTCGCCACTTATGGGTTTTCGAGGTCATTTCTTGGTGCTTGTGTATTATTCTGGATGTACTTAAATATTAGGCACATTAAATTTTAGTTCAGAGAGAAAAGTATTTTTGGCCAAAAATCCTTTAAGGCTATAGACTTACAATTTTGTCATTTTCGGCCAAAAAATGGATTTTGTTCAAAATTTCAGTATAGGTACTCCTGAATGTGCTGCTTAAGGATCTGTTAACCAAAATTTGATATCTTGATTATAACTTGTTCAAATGGCTTTTAGAAAATGTTCAAATGATTTTTAGAATATTTTAATTACTTTTGCAATGCTAATTACTCGCCACTTATGGATTTTCGAGGTTATTTCTTGGTGCTTGTGTATTATTCTGGATGTACTTAAATAGTTAGGCACATTAAATTTTAGTTCAGAGAGAAAAAGTATTTTTGGCCAAAAATCCCTGTAAAAAATTCCAAAAACCGAAATGCTATCTGGTCCCAAGGATTTCGGATAAGGGATTGTCAACCTGTAACACTGTTGTTGTTGTTGTTGTACCTCTGGATTTCATACTGGGTCCATTTTCATTCCTGTCTAATAGTAATGATTGAACTCAATACAAATAATTTACCATCAGTTTGATATGAATAAAGACACTTTCTACTTTAGCCATACAATAGCAATAATACAGTACAGTACATGAAAATATATATATGCATTAAATTTATCAGCAAATTAATTGTATGAAAAATACCAGGATATAAAAACACATTTTCTTAAATTTTCAAATTGCCAAATCTGGTTAGAATGATAATAGTTGTGTGTAACCATTAAAACTTATACTGTAGTATCTTTAGCTCATTAAATTTAAACTACACATGTGGTAATATGTAGTATCAGGTCTTCCAAGTAAATAAAAACCCCGAGGAGCCTTCAGCTGCTGGTGCCAGTAATTACCAAAGCAGTACCGTACCCATAATAAAGTAATTAGGTGTATACTGTATTAACCTCTAACAAGCCTTATAATTTTGAACTACTGTACTGTATCATATACTGTACTAGCCTCCACTTCACACATTTAAGTCAACTTTATGTAACAAACATGTATTTCCAATGTTATCCCAATGGGATATATTGTGCTTCAGATAAAAACATATTTCCAAAATTTAAGGAAAACGTTAAAACTTGACAACATTTATAAGTTTACCTCTGCAAAGTGTTTATCAGCGCGGCGGAAGAGAACATCTTGGTCACATATGGGTGAGCACACGCCACCCCCCCTGCCAGCCACCCATGTTTGACGGGGGGGACATGCCACCTTTGGGGTCTCCTGCAATACAATAATACCTTCAAAACCAACACATGGAAGAAAATGTGAAACAACATTTATCAGTTAGGAGCACCATCTTATGACTAAACTAACTTAAAGAGGAGAGGAAGGTTTTTATGGCCAGGAAAGAAGACAAAAGAGTTCTGAAGCAGACAGCAGGTTGATGCATGGGCATCTGCAGGATTTTCTCCTGGGGGTACAAGAAAGCAAGGAAAGACCTGATATTTGTTTTCCAAAAACAGAGGTATATACAGTACATCCATATACAGTAAAAGTATAATCGAGTTACTTTTGAATACAGTAAAATAAAAAATATCACTTATCAGCTTTACCACCAAATTATTAATCACAAATTATTATATGGTTTACCTAAGGCATTAAAAACTAGCAAAAATAATTATTTTGGCATCATTAATCCTAAAACCTAAGGATTGTCACTGTCACGATGGTGACTTGCTCAGAACATTAACAGCGTAATTTCAATGGTTCAATAAATGCTGCAGGCAGCGCTTATCAGCTCCAAAACAATTAACCACATCTTCAATGAAGGCTTTCTTTCTATCTAACACCTTCTGGCAATGCAAACTGAGCATGCACAATCTAGACAAGTGTTCAGTTGACATTTTTGATCGTTGCCAGTCTTGACATGTCTTGGTGCGCTAAATGACTGTTCAACTTCACAATTGGAGGTTGGAAGTGTCAAGGCGATCAGTATGGCTTCTCAAATACTGTAGCAGGAAACAAATCACACTGCTTCAGAAGATCTGTCTGAGACAAGGTTGCACCTGAAGCAGATGTTGACATTATGTCCTCATTTCAAACCAGGACTGCGACTACTCAGCAAAATTATTGAAGTTTTAGATATTTAACTGGGGCAATTTTCTTCCTACATTCAGCAACCACTGGATCTTTTCTCACATTTTCACCACAACTTGGTTTTGCAAAGGACATACTTGTTATACATGAACTCATTGTAGCAGCTGTTTGAAGCACACTTAGAACTGTCAATTTCCATAGAAGTAGACATTAATAAAAAATATATATAAATCCCCAACGATACCGAGCTCAGAACTCTTCACTATTAAGTACTACTGTAGTATTTGTTTTGCTTGTACAGTATTTTCATTAATGAATAATAATACTGTACAGTATTAATGAATATTATACTGTACAGGTGCTCCTCTACAGTACCGTATATACTCGTCTATAACTCCCCCTCGTTTATAGGTCGACCCTGATTTTTTGACCAAGAAATCGTTAATTTACGATATTCCTCGTTTATAGTTCGACCCACGTTTTTGAGGGTAATGGAACAACAAAACCTTCACTAAAAATGCTCTACGTCCTATAAACTGAGGCTCGCCGTGCATGAAACACGAGTGCCGAAGGCAAATTGTTTACCATTTATTATTACGACACTTTACACTGAAACGCGGGTAGTTTCAACAAAAATATTGTATATTTCCATTCAAGTATTTATTCAAGTCAATTTGGAGGGAATATTATTGTAATACAACAGTTTTTTAACTAAACCATTCGAAAAGCGATTACGGTAACATCTTTTGAACGAAAGAAAGCGAAAGTCATTGTTTTCGTCACGATTTTATCCCACTTTCCACTTTAATACGTACGTAATTTCAGCAAAAAATATTACAGTTCCGTGAATGTATTATATCAAGCACAGTATGAATAGAATATCATTGTAATATAACCGAATTTTAACCGAAAACAATTAAAAAAACGAGTAACATCTCAAGAACAGAAGCTTAGGTAAAGTCTTTTGTTTTTGTCATGTATTTTATCCTATTTTACATCACGTTTCAGCAAAACTACTTTTATTTCCGAGAATATATTCATTCAGGCGCAGTTTAGGTAAAATATTCGTGTGATGTAATAGTTTTTTAGCTGAAAACGATTAAAAAAACACGTACCCTCTTGCCCTGTTCAAGGAGAGGACTGGGAGAAGCTGTTTGATGCTGCAGACGATGACAAGGAAAATGATTTTGATGGATTTTAATGAAAATATTCAGAAATATGGTATCGTAGTATTTATTCAAGTCAATTAGGATAGAATATTATCATAATACAACAGTTTTTTAACTGAAAACCATTCGAAAAGCGATTACGGTAACATCTTTTGAACGAAAGAAAGCGAAAGTCATTGTTTTCTTCACGATTTTATCCCACTTTCCACTGTAATACGTACTTCATTTCAGCAAAAATATTACATTTCCGTGAATGCATTATATCAAGCACAGTATGAATAGAATACCATTGTAATATAATAATATTTTAACCAAAAACTATTAAAAAAACGAGTAACTTCTCTTGAACATCGGAAGGTTAGGTAAAATCTTTTGTTTTCGTCATGTATTTTATCCTATTTTACATTAAAATATATCATGTTTCAGCAAAACTACTATTTATTTCCGAGAACAAATTCATTCAGGCACAGTTATGGTAAAATATACATGTGATGTAACAGTTTTTTAACTGAAAACGATTCAAAAAACACGTGTACCGTCTAGCTGATACAGCTGGTGGTGCGTGATGCGTCGTTGTAAACAATAGGAGGTTGAAGTAGAATACCGGGTATTATATTAAGTGTGAAATATCGAAAAGGTTTTTATTACCGGTATTTTTTGTCGATCAATGAGAACTGTGATACTGTATATGATATGATAAGTTAGCCTGTGCTAAGAACTTCAACATACCGGTAGACTACTGAAAGCACGTTGTAAGGTAATTTAGCCTATTGTAAGTTGGTGAGCTTCATTTGCTGAAGGAACTGCACAACTTTTCATTACTAATTGGTACATACTTTACGTTTCCATTGTTTACTGGCAGTAAATGGTAAATATTTTTCATGTCTGAAGCTAAAAGTTGCTCCTCGCCCTTCCCATCATGCACGGGTTCAACCTAACAAAACTATTACGCATGTATAGGACGACCCCCAATTTTTTGCCTAAAAACTTGGTCTTAAAAACTCAAACTATACACGAGTATATACGGTACTTACAAACGAGTTATGTTCCTGAGACTTGTTCTTAAGTCCAATTCTTTGCAAGTCCAACTTTACTCTTGTAGATACCAAACATTGTGAAAAGGTATGAATGTTTAGTAAAGCTATATTTTCCAATACAGCCTTAAAGCACGGCTCACTCTTCTATCTGTGATTTTCTTCAAAATAATCCAGTCTCATCCACATTAAACACCTGCTCTGGAAGGTAACCCCCTCAATGATGATTTTTGTAACTCTGAAAGTTTGTAGGTCTAATGTTCTTAAGTAGAGGAGCACCTGTATTATGTCTATAATTAGGTGTCGTATTGTACTAGACAAATTGTGCAGTTATCCAAATATCATATTAATTTTAAAAATCCTTAAAAATAATTTTTTTTTATAATATGTAAAGTATTTTTGAAAATTGCTAATTTAACTAACTGTAAAATAATACATAGTCAGTTCTGATGACAAATGGTTGCAGCTTCATCATGACCTAACACCAGGTATAAACTGTTTCTCTGTGATGTTAACATTGTGACTGTCTTACCCGAGTTGGCCAGACAGACCCAGGAGCCAGTTGTCACTCTTGCCAACGTATTGTAATTCTCACACACAGGAATTGTCAAAAGTACAGTGGTCCCTCGGTTAACGAACGCCACGGTTAACGAAATTTTGGTTAATGAATTACCTTCCATAAGAATCTTCAATTCAGTTAACAAACAAAAATTCAGTTAACGAAATTCTTACGAAAACATGTCAACACGTTTTGGCTTGCTCACCGGCTGGAAGATTAGTCCGCCAATACAGTAATCGGTTCTAGGGCTTATATTCGTTTCCATTGGAGTAAATATCAAGAAGGTTGTGTTATTCAATATTTTTCCAAGTTTTATATTAAAATTATTAGTCGTTTTAATACTTATTTAACATAATTGCAGTACAGGGAACTAGTTTTTGGTGCCCCCATCAGCCATTCACTCACCCACCAAGGCATCAGTTTGTGTCTCTGTTCAGTGGAGGAAACATCTCGCTTATGGGTCTCTTGAACACAGAGTATTTTTACGTTTTTACAGTACAATTATTGGTCATTCTGAAATTTATTTAACATATTGACAATATATAGTGCAGTGCAGTGTTGATTTAAAGAAAATAATCTCGAATTACACCTAGTGAACTAAAATTTTATTGGCGATTTCTCTTCCATCCCCACTTCCTTCTCTCTCTTCTCCTCCACCCCCACTTCTAATTCCCATCATCATCATCATCAACCAGGAGCCTTCTACATACACACCTCAAAGTAAGTGTACTTTACTGCATTTTGTTTTAACTTTGTATGTACTTTTTGGTGAGCTGGAACCAGTCACCCAATATCCCATTGAAACAATGGATTCGCTTAACGAAATTTTCGGTTAACGAACGACCTTCTGGAATGAATTGTGTTTGTTAACCGAGGGACCACTGTACCGGCTTATCACAAGTATCTGTTGTGGGAATGTTAAGGAACAAATATTTCACTTAAAAACTTGTAATATCATACACACAATTCAGTACTGTGAACAAGGATTGTGGGGAGAAAAAAAATTTATCATTTTCCAGTAGACCCCCTTACACCCATCCCCCTGACCAACATCCTCATAGTAATAGAAGTTAAAGAAATAACATTACAGCTGTAATGATGGACATAGATGAGAAACATTGTCACCAAGAGGTTGATGGTAATGGACAATGCAGTAACAGTTACTGCCAATACTCTACACTCTTGATTTAACAAACTCTCCAAGACAACAGTTAATAAGCAAGTTAATGTACAAAAACTTCTCTTCAACAGAACATAATAAAACATACTCTTTAAAATTTTGTCCTGGTAACACAGTAAAGTACAACCTGTACTGTACTGTGCTGTGCTGTGCTGTGGAAAAGATTTCACTTGATAAATAACTGCATACAGTATACAGATTAATCGACAGATATCTTCCCCCCTTTCTAAAAATGTATTTTTCGTTAGATGCAGCAACCTCCCTACCAGCAGTGGGCCAATAATCATTTGGGAAAAATCATGATAGACACAGAGCCAGCCAAACACCGACCTGTGGAGTGAGGGGCGGTGGTGTGTCAAAGGGGTACAGAGGACGGAAAGGTGCACCAGGCTCCTGGGTGAATGAAGGTGTTGTAATGTTAGGTGGTTCCACACAGAGTGCAGAGACCTCACGAAGAGGTAATCCAGAGCAGTCCAGGGCATCTGGCCATGAGAAATTGAACTTCTGTAACACTGGTAGGCATTTCTGTCGCACCTGAAAAATCAAGAGAAGTTAACGAAAGATTCTAATATCTTGGTAAAAAATAACATGTACAGTCATCAATAAAAGTTTCCTTACATTCCTGATACATCAATCAACTGAAACAAGTCATAATACGTACTACAGGCATCCCCCGCGTTACAGAACCCCTGGTTGCGGAATTTTACTCTTACGGAATTTGTATATTATGACCAATAATTTCGTGATACGACCCGAAAATCCGCCCTTACGGAAATTGGGGTAAATTTTAACAAATAAAAAAACAAATCACTATATAAAATTTAAAAAAAAAATTTTTAAATTATAATTTGTTTGGTGTGGATTTCTTGGTATTTGCTAACGCCAAGTGTGGCATCGCCACGCGGAGTCACTCCATTGTTTACATCCAGTGTGCGTGCAGGTTTCTCGCCCAAGCAGTTGGATTTAACTTTTACAAACACACAGTAAGTACAGTACAGTGCATTACCCTTATTCAAGATGACTGGAAAGAGTCCATCAAGTGGAAGTGACCGCAGTAGTGCATAAAGAAGCCGCAAAGGCATTACATTGGACATTAAAGATGATGTTTTAAGAAGGTTTGATGCTGGAGAAAAACTTAGCCAGATTGCAAAAACATTAGGTCTTGCTACTTCAACAATAACTCCCTTTGCACCACCTATCCTCACGCAACAGTCAACATCTTTTGTGGTGAGTACAGTACAATATTTTTATTTATTCCAACTGTATTTCTCTTCATATTATATGTATATCATAAATTATTTAATGTACTGTATTGTATGTGTTTATAAATGTTTATTTTCATTCATAAAAGTGCTTGAATTACTTTTTTGGGCCGAAAAAATTCCTTAGGAACGCATCTCCAGTTTTATAATGGAAGTCAATGGGAAAATAGGTTTCGCGTTACAGAATTTCGCGATACGGTCAATTTTCCAGGGACGCAACCCCGTAATGCGGGGGATGCCTGTACTTGTTTAACCCACAGATAGCACTGTTATATATACCCCACTGAGGTTTGGTACAATTTCAAACAGGCGTGTATGCAAACTTTTTGTTTGTGATTGCACTAAACAAGCATAATAATGATACTGCTCTGTATATGCTGAATAAAAAGTACATGCATTAAAAATCTTTTATTAGTGACATATAGACCTTAAAATAAAACACAAATAATTCTTTGCTCATGGGGAATGCATGTATTGGATGAAGATTTTTGGAATCCAGACACAAAAAAGGAAATACTGTATACAGCAAAAAAATTATGTATGTGCCATTAGCTGTGTACATTTGCTCCAAAAACTATCTTATCAGAGGGTCCAATGAATTTCAAAGTGTTATTTCGGTAGGGTTGTCAAATCCTCCGTCCATGCGTATAAAAAAAATAAAAATAAATATACATGTATATATTGGAGCGAGTGTACATACTGTATGTGCATACTGTGTAAGTATACATCTGTTGGGGTATGTGTACATACCTCAAGACATATGGTCCTGCAGGGGGGGATAGGGGTGTCCAACGCGGAGCAGATTGGGGCGTACAGCGAACAGAGGAAGAACCGCAAGTGTTTGCTACACCCGATGTCCACTAACGGCATATATTCGTGTACCTGCAACACCACATGTTATATTACACAATATTGTACACAAAACACCTACTATTTGTCTTAATAAAACGGTTACAAATATTTTCACCCTTTTAAATCAAACAGACATTAGCCAATACAGTATTACACCAATACAAATGAAAAAACACCAGCTTGTTGCATTACACTACATCGTCACTTAACCGAGCTGTAACAAATTTTTTTTACACACTATCAAGATAACATGGTTGTTATAATACTTGATGCACATTAAAAAACTTACTGACTAAATTACAGTATGATAAGAAAGCTTTACACATTGTTTAACTAATGTGGCAGGGAGGGTGAAAAAAATATAAAGTACAGTACAGTAGTGTAGTCTCTTTGGATTTTGCGTAGAAGTGTATCAAGTGGTTGGATTTTTTCCAGTGGAAAATATAAAAAAATCTGCTTGGACCTTTGCCCTGTGGAGAAATCATGTAGAGGGACTTCTGTTCAATAGAAAATGATCTGGAGGGACTTCTGTCCAATAAAAATTATTTGGTGGGGTTCTGTCCAAAAGGAAATTATATGATGAGCTTTTGTTCAATAGAAAATTATTTAGTGGGGTTCTGCCCATAACAAATGATTTGGTGGACCTTTTTAGGCTTTGATTTTGTCCATGAACCTCAATCTCATTTGAATATCTTCTATTCTGTAATGATTGTTTATCAGTCCATAGCTTATAGCCCAGAGAAGAACAACACATATAGCAGTAACCGGAAGTAATTAAAGTGAGATTAAGACCTGACCCAGCAGAGGTCACGGTCACAAGGGAACCCGAGTTCTCACCGCTGCATGATTAGTCAAATCGAAGTCGTGAACGTGTTAACTCGAGAAACTACCCTTCAGCCTGCATCAAACACAGCTGTCTCGACACACCCAGTTTAGTGTTAATTAGTGACGACATCTGCCGGCCTGACAGCCAATATAAAGGGCCGACAGCTCCTTCCCAGAGACAGAACTCCGAGGAAGACAGTCACGTTCATCACTAGTCGAGGTCGGGAGGGAGACTTCCCGACTCAGCACCGAGTCCCAAGCTAACAGTCTCTCTCACAGGAGACAGTCCAGTACCGCCGGGACCACTCTCTTCAGCAGCACCTACAGACAGATTCCCCAGCCACTGGGCCTCCCTCGGGTCACACGTGAGTCATTGTCAGAGGGATCCATAGGGCGAGTTACTTATGGTGGGAAGTGTATCCATTTCTTGTTTGTATCCAGGAGTCATTTTCTAGTAACGTAAATATGATGAATTATTAATGTGTCCGTGTCATTCAGAATTGGTGTTTGGAAGATTTCCCGTAAGAATATAATACCAAGTTAAAGAACTAATCGGCCACGCTACCAAAATTTCCCTCACTTTACAATCCTACAACTAATAACTCTTACTTTATCTTCTTACCTTGAGTTACCCTCATTACAATTCTGTGTTGACTTAATACCCGTGGAATACTCCTGGGCTACCCTCTTCCATTTTCCTTCCCTGAGCGTCAAAAACCACAAATTTCACCAAACAGCATTTCATTTAAATTTTTCCACTATTACCCGAGGAGTGCGCCTGCAAACTGTCGACAGTGGAGAAGGAAAATTCTCAGTATTGGGCACCGCACCTCAACCCTCCCCCATCCTCGGACTAGGCTTGTGATTACGTGTAATAAATCAACATTATCATCCAGGGTCAAGCAATTGCTAACTGGGTGAGAAAAAACGCAATAAAAAAATACATTCTTGATAAACATTGTGTACCTGTACATACATTTCATTATAAAGCCAGAATCCAAACTCTTAAAGCATTAAGCTGGTAAAGGTATAAGAAAGCCCTAACTGGTTAAGTACAAATTTATCTTCCAGAAAATGACCTCAAAACTGAGCTGAAACTCCTTTTCCTATCGATACCTAAGCTAGCCAAAGTAGAAACTCTGTACAACTCTGCTATTTTTTAGACGTCTAATTTCGCATCACAGCATTAATGATATAACTTTAAATATATTAAACAAAAGGTTTTTTTTCACTGCTGCAAGCTTCTTCCCGCCATTTTGCAGGTGGTCGGAATCCTGAGCAAAAGCAGACTTCTTTCACTTGCCTTCACCCATTCACTGTAAACTACTACTGACACTTCCCTATAAAGCACTAGATGCCGTGCTCTCCTACCTAACATGAGTTGCCCTTTACTCACTCTTCCCTTCCCCTCTCCCATCCACTCTCTTTACCAATCTTTCACTCCCAGATTCGTTCTGTACCAGACAGTCTTGTTTCGTTTTGTTTTCAGTGTCAAATTTGTTTTCCTTATAATTTTACCTTCACTTCACCCCTTACTTGGCTTTTAACTCCTTATTTCTCTTAATTCTAATACGGTCCTTTTTTAATCCTGTGTTTATACTTCACACCCATATAAAGTTGGTATTACATATAATAAAGTTCATGTTACGTATAAGGCTAACACGGTATCACAGTATATACAAGGCTACATACACAACTACGTCACCACCGTAAAGAAATGCCATATATATTGATTTAGTGTAATCATTAAAGTCACACACACATACACAAACATTTGTTACGTAAGTATACAAGGACACATACATAATATACATACACATCTTCAGTCAAAAATGTATACGATGCATCGGTAAGTTTTTTATATTACATACGCTGCGATAATTTCTAAACATATATATGATTTATGTGACCTTACTCATTGCATGATATGTTAAGTCAACGTCATCTACCACTGCACACACTTGTCCCAGTATCCGCCAGTTCTCTGAAGTTTAATAAAAACTACTTGAGCTAGGCAGTAAAGACTGATAAATTTGATAGACGACTGTTTTATAAGACTAAATAGACGAGGGACAGATCCACGGCAGCAACCACCCCTCACAAGCGCGCCCACCACCAACACACTATCCCTGTACAGGAGTCTGGCTTCAACTTCAATATATCCTCTAACTTGCATTTATTTTACTTATAATTGTATCAGACTACTACAAAATCTCTTATCTAAACTACTATACTCTCAAAATCTCATATTTTCTAAACAGAACAGCATTAGACTATACGAATTTCCAGAAACCTTTCGCCAAGCAAGGAATCGGACACTTCCTAATTACCCATCAAAAGTGAGTCGTTTCCCGCGCTACGCTTTGATCTCTACGATAACGTTTGAACCTGAATTATCAATGCTTGTACCTCTCAGCTTATCTCAAGTCACCTCTAAATGAGCCAGCCTGACAAGTAGGTGACAACACAGCGAGGACCAGGTGTGTGTGTGAGGCAGAACGCGAATATAAAACGCCAGTGAAAAGAGTGCAGGCGTACAGCGGATGAAACAATAGTCCATATATTAAGGCAATCGGGAAGCAAGTGCTTAGTCCTCGCTCTTTTGAATAATATATCTCTTGTTACTTTCGTCATATATGTGTGGAAATAACTGTCACGAGCACGTGTGTTTATAACATAACTCATACCAAGTGGTACACACATGCCACGGCCCAAAATATCTACACAAGTGGTTCATGGCAACTCTTCCTTAATGCCAATTAGCTTATATCGTGGCAGTTTACAGTCATAATTCGGGTGTCTAGTTTAACAGCGCCGCCAAATTGGGATGGTTGCTTATACTACTGTTGCTAAAAACTCTCTCTGCCTGTCCTTTATTACCCACATACCAAACTGGAATTTATGATTAAAATCACTGTTCCTCACCTAACATACGTACCATGTTCCTGGCGTCAATATCAGGAATGACATAATATAGATGTGCAAATTATAGACTTCTGTGTTTGTTCCTTACTAAACTTCAATCCTTGTATAATTGGATAATACATATATGTAATATTGAACAACTTGTATAAATTGTGCATCATCGTCCACTAGTCCGACCGTACAACACTATCTTAAACTATGAGCAAAGCGAAGGAATCTAGGTCCAGAATCTCAAAGGTTCGTACGATGAATATTCCCCATGATAATGAAGGAACGCACCTGACTGGCAGACTTAAGTTAAAGCACAAAAAAAAACCCGACAAAGTTTTGTCCCCCCAATAAACGCCGAGTGAGCGAGTCCAGCTAAACTAAATTAGATGTATGTTGATGCCGTGAATGTTATTTTCGTGTTTTATTTAAGTGAGCATGTTAGATAAGTATTTACATCAACAGTTACGAGGAAACCCCAAGATCGGAATCTCTTGAGTACCGCGGCTCTCGACACGAGGACCGCGGCTCGAGACACGAACAAAATCTCACCACTAAAAATCATACGTTAGATAAAATATCACCAGTTGAGGCACACTGAGGCTCCGGTACCGCGTTAGGTGTGATGAGATGTTGACCCGAAGTTTTACGAGTCACAAACATTATTCATTTTCTTTTTTTTTCTTTATCACAAATACTTCAAAATATTTGTTTCGTGTAAGGGGTTGAATACAAATTCTCAATAGGTTCGTACGTTAACTTCACTTAATTAGTTGACTTATATTAAAGAAAAAATACACAAATCAAAAATTCTACCGAGAATCCATCGTAACTGGACTTATTCACTGATCGACAATAAATATTAAAGCAAAGAATTTCTCTTGATTCTGTACCATTACTTTGTCTCCTAATGGACGGTAAGTGAGAATATCAAAGTATGGTAGCGTCCCAGGAGTAATTTTGATGCCAATTTTGTATTTTTTTGTTTGTGTTTCAGTTTAAAACTCACACAGTTAGGAGTTATCTTACATATTTAATTGCGGGGAATATACACCGTGCTAGCCCTGACATACACCGTGCGAGCCCTGAGAATTTGTCCCTACGATTACTATACACTTTAATGGATCAGGATAAGGGAATAATTAAAAAAAACAAACGTATGATCACTCCAAGTAAATGAAAGACCAGGTCTGAGATATGTTTGGCTGAATTTTGGCGCGATTCTCAAACTTGGCGAAAAATCTGCACCACTTAGCGACACCGTAACGAATAACTCTGAAGTGGTGATTTTC